GACCGGTTGGTGTAAATAATATTTGGCAATAATCACAAAAATAATCGTGTGATTGCTCATTAAACTTGGTTCACACACTGATATGTAACCAACCGTGATCGAGAATTCAACATACACAGATGAAACCGAAAGAATCTCTAGTACTCCTGGCTATAATTGCTCTTTTTTCTTTTCTACGGGATCTTTTATATCTCTTTTTAAATAATAAACTAATTAACAGACTTGTGCAATTCTTCTGGCCAATTACAAAACAAAAAAAAAACAGGCAACTGCTAAATACTGACCTATTTTCAAGGGTTTCCTTCCAGTGCAACAATTTGACAGCTGCACTATCGTAGAGCACTTAAAAGCTCATGCCGGCGTGCTACTTTCACTTTCCGCGTTCCACATTAGCGGGCCCGGTCATTCCGCTGGCGTTGCATCAGCACTTATGTCATTGGAATTTCGTGAGCACTAACATTTAGTGTAAAACGGCATTGTGAAGGACGAAGCGTAGTTAGCATATGTAACTGTCGGGAATCGTAAAAAGGATGAGCAAAGGAAAGCGATTTAAGGTAAGTTATGACGTTGTGTTACGGACAAGTTATGATTATTAAATCCATCACTATTATTCGGCAAGAGGAAGATACATCTGAAGTAGTAAGCAAGTTAATACGTAAACACGTGAACATGTCAAAGTTCAAAATGCATGCAAATGCATTATTGGAAGGTACAAATAAGTACATAAGTATGTGTATACTCTGAGGTTACATCCTTTGAAAGGAACTCTAAAATCTATACTAATAGTGAAACACTCAACAAAGGCGCGATACAATATGTGTAATCTCTTTTTAAGTCGAGGTACACTCTGAACGTACGCATCCATCCATGCGATCCTAACAAATAGCCATGACACTTCATCAGAACGTAATCCAAGTTATATGGCACTTTTTAAAGTAGATTATCAGCGGTGACGCAGGCAAACACAAAACATAATAGTCAAACGTTCAAGATAAAAGAAATTAGAACTAATATTTCAGATCCGAAATATAATTTAAAAATAAATAGCTTCTCTTCTATGAAATTGAAGAAATAAGCACAATAAGTAACGTCTTTACAAATAACGATTGCACAGATTACGTATGTAGTAGTTAAAGACCAAAACAAAAAAACAGGTAACTTTACAACAAAATTTCGCAACTAGGATTAGATACAGTTCCAATATTCCGATCATGACTTGTATGTGGGTCGAATGACTTCACTGGCAAAGTTGTCGATTACAATGGCGAAGACACGAATCATAAACGATAATCAATAATGTTTTTTAATCCAACTCGGATTAAAAAACATTTTTGATCAGCTAACCTGACTCTATGCTTGCTTAAAACAATTCTAAAAAATTCACTTTTCACACAATTCACCTATTTAAATGTATCTACATTGTGATGAATTGTAACAAACTTAATTCTTTATACTTTAATTTTCTAACTTAGGGCAGGTTTTTAAAACAAATTCAAATGAGGCCAAACGCAAAGTTGCCGACCCAAAAACAACGCTCCGAAAAAAAAGAATTTTCCAAATCGGTTTAAAAATGACGGATTTCTAAATTAACAAACTAAAAACATACAAGCGCATTGAAAACCTTCTTCTTTTTTGGAGTCGTTAAAAAATGAAACTGATTTTGTATTGTAGTCATGTTTTTGAGAACATTTCGCTCAATATGTTGAGCCCTTAAGAAGTTGCCAAATTGCTAAAGATTCATACAAGTCATAAAATTTGAATAATAAAGCAATATTTTTTAGATTACACTAGATCTCGCTTTAAAAATGTTAAAAGCGACTTACTGTTAACAAATAAGTAAAGGAACTGTAACCATCGAGCTACAGATTGCATAATATAATTCCAATGAGAACTTTGGATCTAGGAACACAGAAAATAAAAGGTTTAGAGCGGTTTCGCAATACGTCCTCTCAGAATTCAATCCGAACGGTGCCGAAGTAGTCCTAAACTATTTCCTTTGTAGTTTACTAGATCCGACTTCCGACACCCGATTTCTATCTGTTATTCGTGAATCTCCGTTCCGGAGAAGATTATTGACGGACCAAACTAGCCGTATTATTATTTGTATGAAGGCACCCAGAATTATTTAGGTACTTCTTCTGTGTTGTTCGTACGTACAATAGCATTGCCAGAAGTTGACGCAGATCGAAAGGACTCATGATCAACGACGTGAACGCTTTGCTGTGGCTCCGCGTAAAAAGACAGATATGCTAAAAGTTGACCCTGAATTGCTTGAATTACAATCAGAGATCGTAATAGTGTGTTAACAATAAACGAATTCAGTCATTCAGTCAGCCTTCCAAAACCGTAATCAGGGATCAAAAATCGGAGATAGCGCGAAAAGCAATAGCCGAATTCAGCCCGAGATTTCTAGATCCGTGTTTCACGGGTTCGGATCGGATTCGGAGCGGACGTACTGCGAAACCGCTTGAATAGGAAATCGCGTTATACTTTTTTTGATCACAACTTACTTTTAACTTAACTTTGGAACTTTGCGGCGCTTTGAGCGCTTTTCAAATTCCACGCGAATGAAGTCGCCGGCACCAGCTAGTAATATTTAAATTTTCAAAATACCACTAGTAAGTTAACACCTAGTTAGGATCATCTGTGGCATGACACTAGGTCTTTGCACGCGGCAGTAATATGTAAAACCGGTTTATAGGCTCTACATGAAACTTAAATTAAGCGCTATTGTACTTTCCACTTGATTCAGGAAGATATTATGGTAATTATTATTTGCTACCAACACGAGGAGAATGTCTGCTGCTTACGTCATGAGAAACAAATTTGTGATTGAAGCCATATACCTAGATAGTCAGCTTGTGAACTGGTTATTGCAAGGTTAGCCAATTGACAAGCGGTGGATCAAATGGTTTTAGGTTGGATGGGTTGGTTGGTTTTAATATTAGAGATTACTAGTAACACTCAAGCCGATTCTCTGTTTACAATCTTGGAAGTCTTGGTTCCAACATTTCGCTAAAGTAAAAAGTTTCATATTAATTTTAGTAATAAATAAGTAAAGAGATGAAAAATACCATCCATTATAAAAATAAAATAAAAGGGAGATTTTACCAGCTTGCATATTAAAAATTAAATCGATTTAAAACAAAAAAATAAAATGACGAAATAATATTTTTATTCAAACACAGAAGAATACATTAAACAAGAAGTACGAAACCAAAAGCCGGTGCTATTTAGGGGGCCTAGAATTGAATTTATTTTTCAAGGTCGGTGCCAGCAAGTCACCTACTTTTGATTGCGTTTTTGTATATTTTATAATTTTAATTTTATTACTTTATATTTCGTGTTTTCAGTATAAAAATACGAAAAGTTTTGAAATAATTGTTTGTTTGTAGAAACTTCAATTTTTTTTAATGAAAACTGGTATATTTTATTGCAATAAGCAGCAATCGTTTTTTTGAATTGTAACCTCGTTCCCTTGCTTTCCTGCAAACTGTGGGAGTTATTTCGTGAAAAGGGAAGGAATTGTGTAACAGAAAGCTACAGAAACGCGCGCTTTTTGATTGGCCCAATGAACGTGCGCGGTATGTAGTTGACTGGCTGTAAGTACTGTGGGCTCGCTCGTTCTTTTTTTACATTTAGAAATATATTATACTTTTCTTCATCAATACGTTGAAGCGTCCGAAATACACGCTTGAATAAAACCCTTTTTTTTTTCTGTGCGGAAATCTCCTCGGATATCACCCACCGGTGGTTATGTCGGACTCGAACCGCAGCAAAACCGCACGTCGTCTCGGGTACCAGTTGCCGGGGAACCAGGTGTATCCTAGGAAGGAAATCCCTGATACCCCGACGTACCTCGGGCCATCTACGGCGTGTAAATGACCCCTCTCCTGTGTGGGAACCCCTATGTGCTCTTTGTGCTGCGCCACGCTCACAAAGCGGCACGACCCCCGCCTGTTTCTGCTAGGGTGACAAATGGCTTCACCTACCACCCCCAGGCTTATGAAGGACGGATTGAATAAAACCCTATAACTACGAGTATAATCAATACGTTTTTGTGAAACCGATGCCCGAAGGCCAGAGTTTTTTGTTTCAATTTAACGATCGTTCTAATTCATTTGCTTGTCATAAAACTCACAACTTGGTTTGAACGCTTTTATACCGAGTCACGTTACAGTGCATTTGCCTCAAAACGGTAAATTTTGTGTCTTTCTCATAAGCATGATGAGTGAGTAGGATGACAAATGGAGCATATTTGTTCTTTACATCCGACCAAATGTAGACATAACAGTAACCAACCGATGGATGATGAATCTTCTGATGAATTTAATGTAATCATATTTTCTTACTTATATTATATGATATTTGTTACTCTATCACGCAAAAGTATTGAACGGATGCGATAAAATTTGGTACTCAAATAATTTTATAGCCAAAAGCTTCGATTTTATGTATACATCTTATCAATATTATAAAGCTGGAGAGTTTGTTTCTTTGGTTGAACGCGCTAGTCTTAGGAAATACGGTTCAAATTGAAAAATTCTTTTAGTGTTAGATAGCCCATTTATTTAGAAATTTAGAAAGGCTGTATAACATCACGCTATAGCTAATAGGAGCCAAGCATTAATGAAAAATATTTCAAAAACGAGGAAAACTTATCCCCTTTGAGAGATGCAGATGCGTCAACTAGTTTTGATATAAATCAAAGTGACTTAAAATGCAATATTTTGAAGAATTTTATACGAATGTTGTTTGTAGGAGAGTAGAAATATGGTGAATTCTTTTAATTTTTAAGCATACAATCCAGCTCAACTCTAAAATAGAAAATAAAAGAGAAGTTAACAGAAGTTAACCGAACCGAACAAATTCTTTTTTATAGACACACCATACCATAGTTTGCACATTTAATTGACGACTATCAGTATCAATGATCGGGAAAGATTCTATAAGAAACTAAACTATTTTTTTTCCAGAATAAATCCATTTTAACTACATACCTGTTTCTGAAAATGAGGCATCATCGCGTTCCTGAGTCAGCCCCATTACTGGTCGTGCGCAAGCTTCATCACTGGGAAAAATATTCAGTCTCAGTATGTGTACATATTATAGGACCATTCTTCGAAACACCGGTTGTTGACGAATGGACCGAACAATGAAACTGATAAAAGCCATACTGCACTACGCAGGCCAACTCTTAAGCATTTGTATGTCGTACACTTAGGCGAGTCCTATAGACAAAACTGCATTTGATATATTGGACACGAAGTTTCGATCAAATCTTGATCATTTCCTCACCGACGAACAGCACCCATATTCACACAATGCATAATTTCATGATGATCTTAATAATGCAATTACCTTATAAATTAAAGTTTTAAATTATAACATATGAATTATAACTTATGAATTAAAGATTAATCCATAAATTTTACCGCGATTAGTCGCAGATTTACAGGTTAATCGCAGATTAAATGTGTAAATTGGGAAAAGTATTAAATCCAAACTAATATGAATGCAAGTTTGTTTGTTTTGTCAATCGTTCGAGTATCGCAAGAGAAAATCCAAGCGTAGCTGATTACAATATTTACGAAAGTGCACATCGCAGAGTGATATTTGTATATATCTCTTCTAATTCACTTATTCATACAAAGAAAAACGCGCGAAGTGATCGTAAACCACAAAAATAATTTATTATTCATGATTTACAGTTGTATGAATTGTCATGAGCTATGTACACAGTAAACATATTTACACTCGCCAGCAGGTACAATACTGTACAAATGTGTATAATATCTTTTAGTTTGTTTGAGTAGGTTAGAATCTAAAAAAATTAACTTTATGTAACAAATGAATTTGATACTAACAATCTTATTCTCAGTATTTTTTAAATCTGAGGGTTTTGTTGATATTCTCTATCGAGGGTATTCTCTATTCATACCAAACCATACAAGTATGAATTGCTAGCCCATAGACCCCTCACGCAGTTTCTTTTTTTTAATTAATATGATATGTATAGGTATACAACTATAGCCTCTTCAATAGTCTTTTCATATCTCCCTTACCCCACCTATTTATTTAATTTTTTAACTTCGTCCTTCATCCCTTCTCAAAATAATTATATTTCAATGATTTCTCACACAAGTCTCAGTGCCTCACAGGATCATAAAAATAGAAGGTTAGGACACTGTGATACTAACCTCAGTATCTTCTCCCTATAGCAAACAACAGTCCGGCGTTCGTCACGGACTCCTATCGAGAAGGTGGCGAGGTCTGGCCGGCACAGCTGTTCAACGCATCGGTGGATAAGAAACCGCCGGTAGTTGCTCACTGGAGGGAATACTAGCACACTGTAACAATATTGTTAAAGACTGACAATATTTAAAAATAAACATAATATTCTATCTCTTCAATTACTTTTTTTTATTTTTTATTATTAGTAGACTTGCAACGAATATTCGGTTACTATTCGGTATTCGGCCTATTCGGCTGCTTTTCTTATATTCGGCCGAATACCGAATATCTACATATTATTCGGCCGAATACCGAATACTTAAATAATATATTTTGTCATTGAGAAATAATTGGTAAAATGAAAAATTAAAATCCATTGATTACGTATATATTCATATTTTCATTTCTGTTATAATCATTTAAGTAGTCATTGGTGCATAACACAGGTACATAATCATCTTCTGAATTGGAAAAATGGAGGATTCTATGTATTTGAATTATTGTGGTAATCAAAATTTAGAAGGGTAAGGTTCTCATTTCTTTTATAATCATTTATTAAGTAGTCTTTGGTACATAAAACAGGTACATAATTTAATTCACGTCTGTACAAGTTTTTGGCGCTAAAATCCAGCCGAATACTTTTGCCTAATACTCGGCTATTCGGTCAGGGGCCTCGCCGAATATTCGGTATTCGGTATACTGCCGAATATACTATTCGTTGCAAGTCTAATTATTAGTCATATTAGGAGAATCTGACAAGTAACAGGGAGAGGGGTAAAATATTTATGAATGTATACTGGGAATGCATGCAAATTTATATAATTATGATGCCTTCAATAAATAATGCTATTCTAATTTTGAATTTTTTTTTTTTGTATTTTTCATAAAATATACTTTTTACTATTATTATACAAACACAAATTACACTGATTGATGCCTAGTAAATAATATTAAAATTGGCAATATTGTATATAGGCTTATTAACTACCCTTATTTGTTACTTTATTCCTTCTCAAAACAATTACCTTCCCGCTTTCCCCCTTGGGAGTTGGAAGCACAAAACCAAACTAGCCAAGTGCCTTCCCTTAATAGAAATGGAAAAAAAGAGAAGTGAGAAAAAGATTATTTTTTAAATGTGCTATTATTTTATTAATGACTCTTTTAATAATACTAATATACCTACAATTTCAAATACAAGCTGCAATTATTTAATTTCTTAAAATATAAATATGAATACGAAATACATTTTACGGCTAAAAAACCTGTCTTGCGTGCGATTTATACGAATTTATATTTGACGATTTTTAACCGTTACGGTTTATGCATGGTCATAGCAGTTAACAGACACAGAAACAACATATTGCTATACATTAATAGATCTTTGAATATTCATCGCTCTCGTTTTTTCATTCATCTCGATTCGCATCATTTAATTTGCAGTATTGCGAGCGCGACCTACGTTCCTTTGCGCTTGACACATAGTAACCTTGAAATTATTAGGCAATAACAAGCATTACCAATTTCGAATGCACCTTTGAAGATTCACAACCTCTGAAATATAGCACGAAGGCGCTAAAATAGCGGCTATTTATTCATGAAAAACAATGAAGATAAAATTGTTTACCTGTCAACTCTTCCTTCGGCTGTAAAACATTTTAAGTCTTCTTTGACATCCTCGACAAAGTTGTCATCTGCTAGACTTAGAAACCGCTCTACCGTTTTGGCACCCAGTTTGACGATTAAATGATAATTACAAATAATTAAATAAAAATATCTATTCACGTGCCTAGCGAGAACCTACCGACCATCCATTTTCATATTGCTCACACACATAATCCTATTTATAAATAAATACACATAAGGTACGCACACAAAGAAAACAAACGTCAAGTTAGTGTTGGCAAAACTGCAGCATGATTTAGTCGATTACAAAAATCGATGTTTAAATGACATCGGTTCTTGTGACAACGGACTCGTAAACCAGATAATTTAAAAAATGTTTGGTCAATTAAATTATTTGTACCATAAATATCCTATAAGAACGCTAAATATCTAACTAATATACGTAAAACAATATTTTTTGTTTCTCCCATTATTCCTATGTAATAATTATACATTTAAAACTTTCAGAAGAAAATATACTTGGTATTTTTATTCGTTTCTTGACCTGTCAAACACTTTATTGATTGACAATAAAAGTTAAATTAAAGACTCTTTATATTCACTAAGTATGAACAGTTTTTTTTCGTGAATTTTCAATATATTTTAGTGGTTATTCTGCTATTCCGGGCGGAGACAAGACACAGCCAAAAAAAAAAAAATTGGTTGCCTGTAAAGTCGGTATACGGGCGAAAGTTTTACGTGACAACGACTTTGAGTGGTAAAATAATTTTAATGTGAATATTCATTCGTATAGTAGGAAGAAGGATGAAATAATAGTAACAATTTAAAACATTTATTTATACAAAGAATTATATTTAAAAAAGGGACGCGTGCCTTTCACTTTTTATGTCTGTCTCTCTCGCTCTTAGGCGGGCTAACCATGCCCGAGTGGAAGGGACGCGTGCCTCTCACTCGCTCTCACTGTGAGCGCATAACGTGAGCGGAGCGTAACGCAGTTTCTTGAAGTGTCACCCGGCAAACCAATTTATAAGACGTTGTCACGTCAATAAACAGGGTAAAAATCTCTACCCGTTTTTCTTTTATTTGGTCTCCCGTTGACATAAGAATTTCGTGAGATTATGACATGTGTTCTGGATATCGTTGCTGCAATAAGTCGATTGTTTCATGCGCGGTATAGCAGGTTACGCCGTCCTGCTGAAACCATATATTATGTTGTCCAGATCCATGCCGTCCAGTTGAGAAAACTAGAACTCCGTTATCATATTCTTGTAAAGAATGCCGTTCACAGTCACTGGAATTTCGGCCTCATCTTCAAAAAACTAAGGCCCAATCACGCCACCTCACCAAAATCCGCACTAGACAGTTGCTCGTTGTGGGTGCATTTGTTTCTCATGGATTGCATGAAGATTTTCTGAGCCCCAAATTCGTCAATTTTATGCATTCACGTAGCCATTTCGATGGAAATGCGCTTCATCGCAGAAGATGACTTTTTTCGAAAAATTGTCAGCGACTTCACTTTGCTCCATTACCCATTGAACGAACTGCTTCCATGGTCTGCTGGTTTTAGCTCCTGAGTTAGTTGAATCTTGTACGCATGAAGGTGGAGGTCTCTTGACAAAATTCGCTGCGTAGTGCTTCGTGAAATTTGGAGTTGTTGAGAACCATGCCGAATTGATGTTTTCGGGTTTTCGGTGACACTCGTTTAGAGCATCAATATTTTCAAAAGACCGACTGGTACGTTGACAGAAACGATTCTTAATATCCATAATCGACCCAGTTTCCTCAAATTTTTGACCACTCTTCGAACACATTAGGTGCACTTTTTCGACTGAAAATTTGGCGAAGTTTGCGAGCGGTTTCAGCGTAACTTTCCCCATTTTTGTAATGAGTTTACACAATTATAACGCGTTGTTCTTTCGAAAAGCGCTCCATTTTTTATAATCGGAACAAACATAGGTGACAGCTGTCAAATTGCAGTTACCACTTGCACGAAAAAAAAAATTAAAACACAAAGCCATTAACCAAAACTTGAGTTGAAAAAAAAATTCTCAATTTAAAAAAAGTGCACTTTTACTGAGTGCTGCTTTTATATGTAATATTTATACGCCCGCTCCACTGCTGCCGGCCGCTGTCACCCGGACGGATGTACGGCCTGACGTATTGACGCCCGCTTTGCCCCCGCATTTTAAATTTCTTATATCTACTAAGATATTCATTTTAATGATATACTGATTTTTAAAGATCTAAGCGTGCAAGAAAAAAGCGACTTTATACCAAAGTCATGTAGATGTAAGTCAATACATCAGTAGAAGGAAATAAAAAAAAAGGTTAAACTTAATATATTTTATTAAATATTTCTTTTAAACCTAAAATTTAATTTCTTTTCAATTAACTAAGAAGAATAGGAAATTAAGAATAATTAAATAGTAAATACTTTTACCTTTCCTTGGAGATTTTTTTATCCTATTTTAATATTACCAAATAATAACCGAATCATCTAATTTATTAGAAAAAAATAACAAAAATTAAATTTTTATTTTAGAAACAAAGAATAAGTGGCCATGGATAAATTAAACTAATAAACATTAATTAAAATATAACATGACTTCAGGAAATAATACCAATTTATGTGGCATTTTTTTTTTATGAATACTACTAAATAGTTTTATGTGACAATAAGCTAGGCAACCATTGATTAATATGTAAAATAGACAAAATTTTGAACTAAAATAATCGTAATAAGAATCTATCAACCACCAATTGACTAAAATAATATTTTAGTTAGAGGATGGCAGCAATTTAAGCTTCCTTAGTGGGTAAATTACACCTATATCAATATGATGATGATGTAAAGGTATTTCTTAGCTTTTGTATAAATATAGTAGGTAGCCTAGCTTATTATAGACATACATAGGACAGTGTTGAGTAAGACATTATAAAAATATATAATTATGTTTCCTACAAATCGATCTTAGGTCTATACTGCAGTCGGAGCGGCGGGTCGCGGAACCGCCAACGCGTTACGTACACGAACTTTAACGTGTGATCTTTGCCTAGTAATTCATCGTTACAAAGTATATCAATCTGAAAAAAACAAATGTGTTTTATTAATTATGATTGATATTTAACATTTCAGTTTAAACCATGTAATGTACCTATTTCTCTACATGTATATGTCCAGTCACTATTACATACTTTTGAATTGCCCGACTCTTTGACCAAGTTGCAGTGTGGTCACAAGTTGACTGTGATTATGGTTAAATAATGATAATTTCAAACAGACGGCGGTTTGATCCCAAACTAGGTAAAGCCTGTGCTATTGTAACCACACAGCTGATAAACTTACTTATGTATACTTTTAAATACATACATATCTGTACAAATAAATAAAATTGAAGTGTCTGTTTGTAATGACAAAATAATAGGTTTTTTAATGCTCACATGGTTATTTGCATGATACAAATGCCTAAAAACCAGTTTAAATCTTTTTTGACTGTCAGTCTGTTTGTTCTGGGTAATCTTTAAAATGGCTGGACCGATTTTGATAATAGTTTACTACCAGGTAGCTGTCTCATGGACTACAGGTGCATACACTAAGGCACCATTAAGGCATTCCAAGCGTAAGAAGTTGCAGGTACCAGCTAGTTATAGATAAATTATGGAGGAATATGGAATATATTACATGATCGATTCCCGCCTACAAAGCAATAATATTTCGAAACCCAAAGTTCATACTTACTTCTCTATATTTCTCCATTCCACTTAAAACTTTCTTAGCTATAAATTTCTTTAGGTGTGTAATAGTTGCCTGTGCTGAACATCGGATAAAGCTGCGCTTTAGCGTCCGCAGTGACGTTGATATGCACTCCAGGCAAACATTCACCTGAAATAAATAAAATAACCAAGTTGAAATTATCACAGGTATATGTGTGATGAAGTTTAATATATTTTAAAGTTTTATTAATCCAGGTACTAAATAGAGAGTATTCTTGATTTACAATGAATAAATTACTCTTATCCATGTGGTGACGGATTAAGAATACGGAGTGCCATCTATTCATCCCGTGGATGTCGTAAGAGCCGACTAAGGGGGCAAACTACGCAGGACAACAACACTGCAAGGAGAAGGAAAACTTGACAAAACCCTATACCAACCCATCTGGCCAGCGTGGTACAGTAGGCCAAAACCTCCTTTCTAAGGAGAGGCATATGTCCAGCCGACTATGAAAGGCTGTTGATGATGTGAAGTGATGTAAAATTACTCTTTTAATGAAATCAGGGTGACTGTAATTTTGCTGGTCTCAATCTAAGTGGAGCCAGGAGCCGGGAGCCATGGACACTGTCGTAAAAGTAGTGTCAGATAAGCCATGCAATGGTAACTTTAAAGGTGGGTATGCAGTGAGATGTTTGTACTTAACGGAATAAAAATCCACAATTTGGTGATGTTGCAGTAGAATGCCATATCACTACATCAAATAAGTTGTTAAATGATAATGATTTCGTCCCCTCAGACATTATTGTATTTATTTCATTCCGTATGTATAATATATATTAATAGTTATTTATGTATTCGTCTATGTATTATAAATAGTATTTTCAAATTAATGTTATATTTTCATAGTTTCTTCTTTTTATATGATACATGTGCACCTGCCATGCCCCTTACTGAACCACCTTAAGGTTGTCTGGTAGATAATGCTATGTGGCATTAAGTCCGCCTCATGCAAGTTGTAATGCAGGAAGTGCAAAAATAAAAATACCCAAAGGAGAAAAATAATGATTCTTCAATTTTAAAAGTATATGTAAACAGTACTGTACCTGTTCATCTTTCCTATGACAATCAGTATTATCTGGTTGCTCAGGTTCATCAGACCCTGGTTTGTCAGCTGCGAGTGCAGCATCTTTGGGACATGGCAGGTTGCGGGCTCTATAAAAGTCTCTTTCCCTCTTTGCTTCATCTGTAAATATAACAAACAGGTGTTAATATTCCATTCTATAAATAAAGGGGTTGGCTTGTTTTACTCACATAGTGGTGATTTTCTGCTGATGAAAAGGTCTACCAGAGCTTCTTAGGAAGAGCTGATAGTACATTATGACATCACTCATATTGCGTTTGTTTAAGGCACTGGCAGCAACTGCCACCACGAGTTGTATAAAAAAGGTGGTAGGAATTATACAGCAATTTTTAAACCCAAATCTAACATGGCTTAGCCTATAGGTATAGAACTCATACATCAATATGTGAAAAGAATCTTTGAATCCCTATTTAATAGTATTTTGCAGATGGAGGAATGTCAAATTTAGAAAACATAGTTTAACATTAAAAAAAATTGTTCAATCGATCTACATATGTATTTAAAAATGTTATGTTTGTATATGCTTCTTAAACTCAAAAAGTTCTGCACTGATTAAGCTGATATTTTGGCATGATATACAGCTTCTAATAGTGTTTTTATCTATCTTATATATTTATATTTCGCATTAGTTTAGGTCCTCATTTCTCTATCTTCTATTGTAATTGAAAATTATGTTCAAACTACTACAGGGAAGGATTGATGTGTCAGTACGATATATCAATGAAATAATACAAAACATTCAATCTTAAACAGTTACAGCTAAAATTAAACCTTATTACACAGACACTCAACCCAATATCAAGAGTTATATCAATGTATATAATTATTTGTTAATGTTGCAGATAGATTTGTACTTGCTGCCATTGTTTCCACTGATACTATTGTGCTAGAACCAGTGAAACTATGTGCAAACCCTGTTTAGATTTTCTCGGTACTCAAGGATGCAAGGCAAAACCTACTGTAAAAAAAGGTATATAAAGTCATTCTTGTACGACTTGTTATGACAGGGTTGGAGGTCTAGTAGTTACTGATTGGGTCTGCTAAGCCAGACGTCATGGGTTTCATTACCACCTAGTACAAATAATTGTGTGATGATTATTTACTGTCTGGATGTAATTTATCTTTAATATATCTGTATTTATAAGTATGTTTATCAGCAGTCTGCCCAGTTTGTGATCAGACAGCCGAGTGTGAAATGTGTCGAGGATATTTTTATAAATACTTACTGTCCTGTAAGTCTGGAACTAATTTATAGACAATGTCCTGCATGGTCCGGTCGAAGCTGATGTACTGCAGCGGATGCGATTGGTGTATCACAATGTTGCATGTTGGACAAGTATTGTTCTCTTCTAGATGTTTCACTAGACAGCTTTTGCAGACTGGAAGGTGGAAGGTTATCTTTATTTTGAACTGGTTTATATATTTTATAACTCTTTGATAGTCGTAGAAGATTTGATAAGATCAGAAACAGTAAACAAGTACATAGAAAAGACATGCTTCCTCTTCAAACTCATGTTTTGTTGACAAATAAAATTGATTTGATTTTCGTTTGAAACTTATCTTTGAATACCAAAAATAAAAGCATATTGTATTAGGGTTTGAAGATTAATTGTAATACATTTACTAACATTAACCAATTAGTTAATAAATTGTTAATACTAACACGTATGAAGACACTCAGTGACCGTAGTCGCGTCGATGAAGTAACCGCGACAAATTTTACAAGTAATGTGACTATTTAGTGTTTTTAACTTTATCCTCCTTTCCATTGTCATCCTAAATCTACGTCTGCGTTAAAAACATGAGTAAAACGAACTTAAAACTGACTTAAAACTAAAATAATTAGAACATAAATGCAAAATCTACAATCAACAACTCAACACTTCAGCTTCGTCTAGTTATTGCAGAAATATTTTGGTTCAACTCAGCTCGGATTGCACAAGTCTGGGTTTATCAAATTTTACAAAAAAAAAACAGTATTTTTTTATAAACTGTTAAAGTAGAAATATTTGTTAAATTAAGCCTATATCAGCTTTTAATACCATTACTTTTAAATGTATGTAACCAATAAATTAAATGAGGTCAGAGTAATAACAACACGTTACATGTGAACGTTTTGATATTGCTATTGGAAAAATAAATAGACTCGAATTCTTACGTATGCATTCATACCTAATAAAAGTTTTAGTTTTAATTAAAGGAACGGAATAAACTTTTTAGGAAATAATTTACTTCATCACATTACACGATTTTTTCTGAGTAGCATATCATCAACATAGAGGCCTATGACCAGGAGTGGACAAATTGAAGCTCAATTAGGCCTCTCCTTAGAAAGGAAGTTTTGGCCTACTTTACCACGCTGGAAATATGGGTTGGTATAGGGTTTTTGTAAAGTTTTCCTTCTCTTTGCAGTGTTGTTGTCCTGCGTAGGATGACTTCAGTCAACTCTTACGACACAAGCGGGATGAATTGGGGTGGTGACACTCCGTATTCTTAATCCGTCACCACATGGATAACAGTAACATATATGGACCACCAAATGGAATATAGCGTTACATATTAGGTACAATCTAAGTAGTATGTAGGCAATTCGTCACTGTCATTACACCGTCATAACATTATGGGGCATACGTGTAAAGGAGGATAGGCGCAAAGCAACGCGTAGGACAGCTTATTTTAATTTGTTTCAGAGCAACACTATAAGATCTTTTTAATCTCCTAAAATTATTTTGCTTAAGCATTCATTATTCATGAGTAGTCTTGATCAGGGCCTGAATTCTGCTATTGTATGTTCACGCCAAGCCACTGTCATACCACTGACACACTATTGAGATGCCATCGAGTGGCAATTGGCATCGGTATAAATATCGGTAGTCCACACTAACTCAGTGTCTTTACAGTGGCGATGGAATGGCTCATCAGTGGTGATATCAAAAAGATATTTGAAAAAATAAATAAATCATTTCCTTATAATTTGAAAATATATTACGTTTTTTCGCCAAAAATATATTCGCTAATGGCCACTGGATGGCATCTCAATAGCGTGTCAGTTGTATGACAGTGGCTTGGCGTGAACATAAAATAGCAGAGTTAAGGCCCAGGTCCCAATCCAATTGAGTCACAATAGGATTCAGTAATCTCAATCCAACGAATCCTAGTGCTTGGATGATGTGGACGCCTCAGCACTACGCTGTCCAAATTATGTCGGGATTCGATTCCTACACGGGAAAAATATGTGTGACCTAAAAATACTTGGTAGGTACATGCCTGAAATTTCTTCGCCTCTCTTGTTTAAATATTTCGACGACATAAGAATGACTCATATTAGGAGGTTGTCTTGACAAGAAATCCAAAATAATGAATAACGTAAGTGTCAAATCATGTATTATCAACGGAGTGAGGCGGTGGGCAAACGGACCGGCTTTGGGGGATGAGATAGTATGCTGCTGAAGTTCGACCAGTACGTCTGTTTTGTTGTAAAAAAGACATTTTGCATCACATCATCATCATCATCAGCCTCTCCTTAGAAAGGAGGTTTTGGCCTACTATACCACGCTGGCCAGACGGGTTGGTATAGGGTTTGTTTGTTGGGGTTTGTAGGGTCGGGGCACCAGGGACTTCCTTTCTAGGGCATACCTGGTTCCCTGGCTATTAGTATCCGAGACGGCGTGCGGTTTTAGTCGGTTCGAGTCCGACATGCCACCGACAGGTGGTATCCGAGGGGATTTCCGCACGGAAAAAAAGGGGTACACTACGTATTCTTGAATGGATGAAAGACGATGAGTCTTTCTTTGAAAGCGTGAAAAAGTTTCAGCTTTTATCAGTGATCGAAGCTGTCGTCCGGCAGTTTACTGGTAACTGACTTAAACACGTAATGGTTATTTGATTTGCATTAGTAGATAATGTAAATAATAAAAACACTTGATCAATAATGCCTTTTAATAATTTTCACACAAGTAAATATAATAATTGTATATAAATAATTTGTGACAAACGATTTACAATTACACAAAAGATTCCTTCAATTAATGTTTTATGCATATTGTTAGACAAGAAACTCGGTCTGTTTGACAACCTTTCTCATCTATATTAAATATGTCAGTCTACCCTACAACTACCTAAAAACTAGCCCATCAATGACGTGAGAGTTTGACAGAATAACTACATGTCAACGCTTGAAACGTAAAGGTAATTTTCCAGCAAAACCGAAAACAGAAAAAATATAAACAATCATTTTATATTAGAATTTCGTGTCATTAAAATTTCAAGAACATATTAACTCAGTTTAAATTTTTTTGCGGAATCCCCTTTCAAACTTAGCCAAGGTAGCCTATTACGATGCTTTGTCTAACAATATACATAGAACTAGAACTCATTCTTGTCCTTCATTATGTAAAAGCTATACAAATATTTGTTTCGACCAAAACGTATGGGTTATCTACATGTTTTGGTCGAAACGAGTATAATATCATAGTTTTAAAGTTCAACTTGTGTATAAAACATTCCATAGGTCTCTTTATTTTATTATTGCATAATATTCTATTTCGATGTTATAGTTAAAACATGACAAAGACACATTTTTTGCCTTATTATGAACAATATGAAAGCAGTCACTGATTAAAAAAACTGGTTGTAACATCTGCCATTTCACGTACCATTTGATAGCCGACCATAGTACAGCACGCGCTCATCTGCCGAATCAGATAGCGCGCGTTTCCCCGGCTTCCTGTTACACACTTCCGTCCCTTTCTTTCTTCTGCAGTATTAAGTGAGAGGAAAGATGTTACACATCAAAAAGTATAACTGTCTCGAATGCTCTTAAATCATGATAAATTGTAATAAGGTGTATACTTTATCTCCTAATTTAAAATTTGTACGGAAAAATGCGATAAAGGTATGAAATAATTTCTTGAAATTCAGATGGGATCATTAATTAAATTAAAAAATATATTATTGGATTCGGTTTACAAATGGCAAAATTACTGTGTTGTAGCATATAAACAAAGACAATGAAATCGAGAACCTAACATTTTTGAACGTTGATATAAATATATTTCTAGTCTTGTTCGATTCGGTTTGTTTCGGGTATTCTGTTGATCACAATTTCTTAAAAATCTCTCACATCTTATTTAAAAACTGATCATTTTTATTAATGAGGTAGCTTTATCAAAGTTAGTATAAACGACTTTTTTTTTATATTTTGATGTGTGGGTACACACACTATGGTACCCACACACATCAAAATCCACATCCATAACGTGAGTCGCCTTGCCAACAATTTCCGATATGTACATCGTGTTTGTCCTATACTTTCATAGATATAATATATATATTATTATAATAATTGGCGATTTCAAGTACAATTAAAGTCCTCGTTTCGGTTAAAATTCGATAAGATAAATAAATTACATAAAGATTAGTCTAAAATCTCATTTCTGCGGTATGCCTTACAAATAAAATAAATCAGAAGTCAGTTTTCCAAACAATTTAAACTATATAAATAAATAACTGATGAAAAATATTCGAATTTGCTTTATTCCACACCGCTACTATGAAGAAGTGCGGGGCCAAGCGGCTTTCGCACTACCGCCCCACATCTACAAACCAGCAGTCACTTAAAGCGCATCACTATGACCCTTCACATTTGACATCGGTATTTAAATTCGTACTGATCTGCACCGTCCCGTTAAATATACTGAAAACATCTTTGTTCTCTTCTACCAACACTCTGTAATGTTCTGACGGCGGGACGGGAGCATTCGGTTTGACGTGATCTTTTTTAAAATGGCGGCTAAGATGGCTGGTTTGTGTAAACTTTCTATCGCATATTTTGCACTGGTATTTCTTCTCGCCCGTGTGGACTACTTTGTGTTGTTTCAAAGCGGACGATGTGTAAAAGGTCTTGCCACACTCGCAGCTGTAATCCCTTTGGCCTTTGTGACGTTTCAAGTGGACGTTGTAGGCACTGCATGTCACGAAGCCGCGGGAACACTCTTTGCAATTGTACCTATAAAATGTGTAAAATGTATTATAACGAGACACAGGTTCAACTTAGTTCGGGGCAAACAAACAACAACTGTATTTCATTTATAAATTAGAGAACCATTTATTATAAATTATTATCGTACTCTTTATTTGAATAAATTATTATTATTTAATTTTAAAATCTTATTACACTACTTTCTGAATTTCCAATGTTTTTTTTTACAATAATTCTATATCATGTTCGTTTCACTACTTTTGAATTAAATTATATTCGCTATAAGGTACGACGGGACTGACTTGTATGATTATATTGGGTATAAAGATTTTTCTTTTTAAAAAAAGAAAGGTGGAAAGCGACTACCGCCGCCCATGAACGCCTGCAACTCAGGAGTCATAAGCGCATTGCCGGCCTTTGAGGAATGAGTACGCTCCTTTCTTGGTCGGTAATGTAAGGTCGTATCGGTCCCTAAAAACCGCAGACGATAACCCGTTCCACAGGTTGGTAGTGCGAGGCAAAAATGGTCTCGGAAAGCGCACGGTGGCGGAGCGCCAATTATCCTATTATCATGGGGGGTGCCTCGGAGCACTCTCCATGATATATACGATAGAGAATGTAGAGCGAAGCTACATCTCTACGCTAGCTACTACGAAGCTGTTACTGAGGTGCCCCTGCATAGAGATGAGAATAGTATTCCATATGCGGCCGAACTTGCGCCTTATAGAGTTGGAGGCGATTCGCCAGAGTGAAATACTGCCTCGATCTGTTCAGCACACCGAGCTTCTTCGAGGCCAATTTGACCTTACCCTCGAAATGACCGCGAAACTAGACACTGGCTGAGGCAGTAGTCAGTAAGTATAGTAATAATATAAAGATGAGAAGAAACTTCTAGGGTTTATACTTACCGAACTTCTTTGTTATGTATTCTGATGTGTATGGACAAATTCCCAGATGTGGCAAAAGTTTTTGTACACAGATGACACGAGTATGGCTTCTCTCCGTTGTGAATCCTCTGGTGTACTTTCAGTTCAGCTTTTATAGGGAAACCTAGATATCAAGTAAAAGTCAATGTTATATTATTAAATACGAATACATATCACAGACTTGCTTTTGGCTTTCCTGCAATACGTGAGAAAGTGATTCTGTGAAATGGGACGGTAGTGTGTAACAGGATGCCAGAGAAGAATGATTTGACCAATAAGCGCGATGCTAAAGTTGGCCGTCAGAGAGCAAGTATATAAAACATATTTAAACAAACCTTTTCCACAAATTTGACAGAGATACGGCTTCTCACCCATGTGCCGTTTCATATGAATGGAGAGCTGAGCGCTTTGTACAAAAGTTTTAAAACATATGTCACAACTATACAGTTTCTCTCCTGGAATTTGAAAATATATTTTTCTCATTAATAATACAACCACAACAGATATGGCTTGTAGTATTATCTAATTCTAATTATTTGATCACTTATACCACGGTACAATTATAATACAGTACTCCAACTTCATACAAACGGACGAAACACGAGCTATACCTACGCGCCTCGATCTCGGGGTGCGCTCGGGGCGCAGACAGTCACGGCTGTACCGCAGTGTCGAACGGACGGTGTGTTGTTTTTTTTAACAATAAACGCGCGATTTTTTCTCTAAAAATCAGTTAATATGACGAGTAGGAAATATTGTGCTGTTTTTGGTTGTATGAATTCGTCAATAACGCATCCAGACATAAGTTTTTTTAAATTACCTGGAAACTCTGAAAGGTAAGACTATAAAATAATTTTACTTACTAGTAGGTAGGTACATAATGTGTGTCTTTTTAATGGATAAGTATTTCCTTTTATCTTACGAAAAAAAAGGTGTTTGGATTAATAAATAAAGCGAATAGAGTAACGGAAAGTTATTGAGACGAGTGAAATAGGTAGTTATATGCGGTTCTGAATCAATCATGATACGGTAGGTACTTACCTACCTACTTACGCTTGTGTTAAAACTTCGGTGCATGTGTGTTTTGTTACTTTGCATAATTCAAAGTAAAGACGTGGTATTTTATTTTTAATAATATTTGTTTATTATCTGTGTGTATGAATAATACTAGAAAATTTTTTTTACCGTCTGTGTGTCATTAGATAGTTTTCGAAATTTTCACAAAGTGACAAAACATTTTAATTTGGAGGATGTATTACATTCATCAAATAGAAAACTTAAAAAAAAGAATGCCCTACCATTGTTGATGCTGCCAAGCTTAGCTAGTACTGATCCAGGAGTATCTCTAAAAGAAGATAAACAAACCCAAACTGCTCCGTTTTTAAGAAATGAAAATAGTACACAGACTGAAAATGCAACAAATGAAATCTTTGCTCAAACCTCAACGAGTCTCTCTAGCAACACTCCAAGAAAAGAAAATTGAAACTTGAACTCCTCCAATGCAGAAAGAAAATAAAATAATTAAATCTACCAATCAAAAAACAACACGCATTTTTATTGAACACTTCCTATTCAATATACAAAGTATTTCATTTATTTATATAAAAAGGATATTTACAATCACAAATCTAAATAGAAACAGAAAGTAGGCAAATATAATTAAAATGCTGGAGACGGGCAGCCCTAACGCATGTTTACGTACCGCGCGGCTGTAGGCATTTATTTCTATCATGCGGCCGAGTTACACTACTGTATTATAATAGTACCGTGCTTATACCCATCACTTATACCTATAGTTTCAAGTAAGAATTAAAGGACAAATTGAAAATTAATTTATTTTATACCTATTTTATCTTTTAAGGCGTGTAATTTCAGAGAAAACCTAAATAAACGGGTCATGTCATGCCAAAACATTTTTTAAATCAGGTTCGGGTGGGTACAGTGTGCATTTGAAATAAGTCACTAATTTAAACCATTACATTAGAACGTTATAGATATTAAGTTAGGGTAAGAATAGTAACATATAGGTACATACCTTTATGCATGCGTATATGGTTGACTAGTCCAGTTCTTCTGCTAAATTGCTTAGGGCAATATTCACAGTGGTAAGGAGTTTCGCCTGTGTGTACCTTCTTGTGTTGGAACAAAGCGCTGTGACCTCTGTATAAGGGTAAAGTAGTACCTTTACATGTCTTATCAAATCCGTTTAAAAAAATAATATTAGAACAAAAATGTTTTCTTCTTTACTTTTTTAAAAGACACTAGGAATATTTCCTGTATCGTAGGGGACTTTACAAACATATATAAAACGGACACAAAGAATATCAGAAAAACAATTTTTAGATCACATAAAGTGTCATATGGGGATCGAACCCACAACACTCAGCGCAGTAGGAAGCGGCAAGGTGACCGCTTAAACCACTACGCCATCCGTGCAGTGCAGAAATCTGTGCTTAAATTACTACACAATGTTTTCATTTATTAGTAAGAATGAAATTGTATAAGTTCTATGCGAAACAGCGAAAACTTACCTAAAAGTGGCAGGACAATCGGTACACATAAAAGGCCGGAGGTCTGTATGGCACAATTTGTGAGCTTTTAAATTACTCTTAGTACTAAGGAACTTGCCGCACACATCACACTGATGAGGAAGCTTACTCTCAGGCAGGGCGCGGAGTTCGCCATCAGCGTACACTGAAATATAATAAATTTTACACATTTCCAATTAAAACTATTTTCCTTATACTTTCAAATCATAGAATGACCTCCTTTAACTAAGTTTCGCAAGTAATTTCCTCGTATCTGATTCTTAATAGTCTGATAAGGATTTAAAAGGCTGGGTTAGTGCCAGGCAGCAGCCGCTTCCAGGCGAACCTCCCCGAGCGGGAAGCCCCGTCCGCGTCCTAGCCTGCCCCTACCACCAACTCAGGGGCATTTGACTCCCAACTGCGAGAAATCCTCATCGCAGTTGGGAATATGCTGGACGGACGCCTGGCTGGCCTGGAGGCGAGACTGCCCCCTGCGCCGATTATGCGCCCCCCGCTCGCGTCGCCTAAGGCCACCGCTCCGACCGCGCTCCCCGTTGTGGGAGGCCGCGTTTCTTACGCGGCGGCGGCGTCTGCCCCTACTCCATCGGCGCCACAAAAGCCGACGAGGAGGGGGGCCAAGGCACCGGCCCAGGCGCCGGCCAAGGCACCGGCTAAGGCGCCGGCCAAGGCACATCCCCAGGCGCCGGCCAAGACGGGGCCTAAAACGGCGCCGAGGAGCGGAGTGGCATTCCCTCCGCTCCCCACTCCGACACCCCTGCCGGGCCCCTCCGCACCTGCCCCCTCCAACGAGGGTTGGCAGGAGGCGAGGGGCTCCAAGAAGTCCCGAAGGCGGGCCAGAAAGGCTGCCCAAAAAGCAGCCCAAGCCCAGCCTTCGCCACCGGTGGCAACGGCCTCTGCAAAGAGGCCGCGGAAGCTGCAGCCGCCCAAAACCGCGGCTGTAGTTGTGACCGTGTCCCCGGAGGCGGCTGACGGCGGGCTGTCCTACGCGGCCGTTTTTAAAAAGGCCCGGGACAGCCTCGCCAACGACTTTGGGACGGTGGGGGTCAGAATGCGCCTCGCCCAGACGGGAGCTCGAGTCCTCGAGTTCCCTGGGGCTGAAGGCGCTAAGACGGCGGACACATTTGCCGAGAAGCTGCGGGGACTCTTTACAGCCACGGATGGTGTAAAGATCGCCAGGCCTACTAAGTGCGCAGAGCTGCGCATCTCGGGCCTGGACGACTCTGTGACGGCCGAAGATGTCCGCGCTGTAATCCGGGAGAAGACGGGGTGCAGTGCGGACAACGTCAGGGTCGGCACCATCCGCCCCGGTCCAGGAGGGCTTGGCGCCGTGTGGGTCAGCTGTCCCGTAGCGTCGGCCAAAGTATTGGCCGACGCCGGCAGGCTGCTCGTCGGTTTCGTGAGCGCCAGGATCACAGTCCTGGCGGCGAGACCGATGAGGTGTTACAAATGCCTAGCATCGGGGCACACGCGCGTCAAGTGCCAAAGCTGCTTCGACTGCAGCGGACTTTGTTTCCGCTGTGGTCGACCGGGGCATGTGGCGGTGGAATGCTCTGCCGCCCCTCACTGCCCGGTGTGTGCGGCGGGTAACAAGCCCGCCAATCACCAGATGGGGCAGGGGGGCTGCAAGCCTCCCCGCATCTCTCAGCAAGCATCGGGGGCTAGCCAGTCGACCCAGGCTGCCTCCGATGTAGTTCGTGCGTCGACGTCGTCGCCCATGGAGGAGGCTGTAGAGACGATCCAGTAATGGATCGGGTCTCCAGCCTCCTGGTCCAGACGAACCTGAACCACTGTGCCGCGGCGCAGGATCTCTTCCTGCAAACCATGGCACAGTGGTCGATAGGTGTTGCCGTAGTCGCGGAGCCCTATTCTGTCCCTCCCCGTCCAAACTGGATGGGTGACTGGGACGGCTCCGTGGCAGTCGTCGGTTCCACGACGGCTCATTCCCCGCCCTTGTCGCTAAGAGACAAGGGCACTGGATATGTTGAAGTCGAGTGGGGGGGGGATCACCATATATGGTGTCTATTTCTCCCCCAACCGGAGTTTGAACGACTTCGAGGTTTTCCTAACCAGCTTGGAGACCTCGATACGGCGACTAGCGTCTGGGCACGTCCTTGTGCTGGGGGACTTCAACGCAAAGTCCATTGCGTGGGGTTCCCCCAGGACGGACGCCAGGGGCGAGGCCGTAGAGGAGTGGGCGGCCTCGGTGGGCCTCTGTCTTCTAAACAGAGGCTCCACCAAGACGTGCGTGCGACAGCAGGGGGGGTCGATAGTGGACCTCTCGTTCGCTACCCCTGCCCTCGCCGCACGAGTAAGGAACTGGCGTGTCCTGGAAGAGGTTGAGACGCTCTCGGATCACCTGTATATCCGATTTGAGCTCTCCCGGACCCAGGACTCCAGTAGGGGTCACGTGGCGCGGCGTTTATCCCGCTTTCCGCGGTGGGCTGTTGCCAGGCTGAACCGGGACCTACTAGAGGAGGCAGCCATAATTCACTCGTGGCTGTCTCCTCAGGCTCCGACCGAGGAGGTCGACGTGGGGGCTGGCCGCTTTCGCGATGCGATTACGCATGTATGCGATGCGGCCATGCCCCGCGTTCGAGGTCGTCGGCCTCCAAGGAAGGAGGTCTACTGGTGGTCCCAGGAGCTGGCGGACCTCCGTGCGGCCTGTACACGTGCCCGGAGGTCCTACACGCGCAGTCGGCGGCGTCACCGTGGAGACGGTGAGGAGGACCGGCTTCATGAGGAGTACCGACGGGCGCGGAAAACTCTGAAGCTGGCCATTAGCCGCGCCAAAGAGGAAAAAAGACAGGAGATGCTGCAGGGTCTTAATCGTGACCCCTGGGGTCGCCCTTACCGCGCGGTGCGACAAAAGCTCCGCGCGTCGGGCCCCCCCCTTACGGAGACTCTCCAGCCCAGCTTCCTGCGAGAAGTGGTTGAGGGCCTTTTCCCACAACGAGCGGAACACACTCCCCCGTCGATGGCCTCTCTGGCCGGAGACGACGGGGAGCACGGGTAGGACAATGTTCCGCCCGTCCGGGATTCGGAGGGAGGGGCGGCTGTTCTACGGATCCGTTCCAAGAACACCGCCCCTGGGCCAGACGGGGTACCGGCCCGAGTGCTGGCCCTGGCCCTCAACCACATGGCAGACCGCCTCGGGGAGGTGTTCGACGCTAGCTTGGCGTCGGGACGCTTCCCTGAGTGCTGGAAAAGCGGGAAGCTGGTCCTATTGAGGAAGCCGGGACGGCCAGCCGATTCGGTCGCGGCCTATAGGCCCATCGTGCTGCTGGACGAGGCGGGCAAATTGTTTGAGAGGGTTCTTTCTGCCCGCATCGTCCGGCACCTCTGCGAGGTGGGCCCCGATCTGTCGGACGCCCAATTTGGTTTTCGGGCGGGGCGTTCGACAGTCGACGCCGTGTTGCGCCTGAGGGCCGTGACCGAAGAGGCCGTGAGCTGTGGCGGCGTGCTGTTGGCGGTGTCATTGGACATCGCCAACGCATTCAATAGTCTGCCATTCAGCTGCATCAGGGAAGCACTCCACTATCATGGGGTGCCAAAGTACCTGAGGCGGCTAGTGGCAGACTATTTAGAGGAGCGTACCGTCGTGTACGAGGACCGAGAAGGTAATCTGAGGTGTCGGCCCATGTCGTGCGGTGTTCCACAGGGGTCTGTTTTTGGACCCCTCTTGTGGAACATAGGGTACGACTGGGCCCTTCGCGCCGATTTCCCCCCCGGGCTGGGTGTAATCTGTTACGCAGACGATACCCTCGTGACAGCCCGGGGGGCAAACTTCCAAGAGGCGGCGCGCCTGGCCACAGGGGGAGTCTCCCTGGTGGTCGGGCGCATTGAGGCGCTGGGCTTACGGGTGGCCCTAGATAAGACGGAGGCCCTGTTATTCCATGGGCCCCGTCGTGGTCCACCCCCTGGCGCCTCAATTGTGGTCAACTCGGTCCTCGTACCGGTTCGGGCCCAGATGAAATATCTGGGCCTGATCCTCGACGGGAGGTGGCTCTTCGACGAGCACTTCCGACAGCTTGCTCCAAAGCTGGTCGGCGCTGCGTCTGCCCTAGGGCGACTTCTGCCCAATATGGGTGGACCCAGCGTCGCGACAAGACGGCTGTACACGGGGGTTGTCCGGTCAATGGCACTGTACGGTGCACCGGTGTGGGCGGCGGCTCTGACCGCCCAGAATAGGGTACGCCTCTGGCGCCCTCAGAGGGTAATGGCGGTCAGAGCCATACGCGCATTACACGCACCGTTTCGACGGAGGTGGCGTGCGCGTTGGCCGGAACTCCCCCGTGGGATTTGGAGGCGGAAGTGCTCGCCGAAGTTTATCGGCGAGTGGCTGACTACCGGGCGGAGAGCGGATTTCGCCCTCCGCCCGAGGATGTGCGCGAGTGGCGCGAAGCCGCTCGCCGAGCCACGATGGCTCGTTGGTCGTTCCGGCTGGAGACTCCACGCGCTGGCTTCGCCGCCGTGCAGGCTCTCCAGCCGGTCATCGCCGAGTGGGCAGGGCGGCAGCACGGGACCCTTTCCTTCCGGCTGACGCAGGTGCTTTCCGGGCACGGTTGCTTCGGAAAGTACCTGCACACGGTCGCTAGGAGGGAACTGAGTCCCGCCTGCCACCACTGCGACTGCAGTGAGGACTCGGCCCAGCACACGCTGGCGGTCTGCCCCGCATGGGCGGCGCAGCGCCGGGCCCTCACTGCAGTCATCGTAGTGGATCTCTCGCTACCGGCCGTAGTACGCTCCATGGCCGGTAGCGACAGTTGTTTTACCGCGGTCGCAACCTTCTGCGAGGTAGTAATCTCGCGGAAGGAGGCGGCGGAGAGGGCCCGGGAGGACGACCTCCACTCGGACCCGATCCGCCGCCGGCAAACCGGGCGGCGGAGGCCCGCCTACCACAGCCTCATGCCGCCCTGAGTGTGGCCGCGGGTGGACGGGGTGGGTTTCCCCTCCACCCGCATTAGTTTGGCCAGCCGCGAGGGGGCGGCGTCCGCGTGTGCCGGACGTCGCCTATAAAGAGAGGAAAAACACTGAGACGGAGCCCGCACCAGGAGCGGGCTGGCGCTAGGAGGGGTCCGGATGTCTTAACAACAGCTGTTCCCGGATCCCTCCTGTTACAGGCGCAGAGTGGCACACCGTGTGGTTTTAGTCGGTCCGAGTCCGACACACCACCCCGCCGCAAACCCCGGAGGGGTGACGGTCCGAGGGGATTTCCACACGTTAAAAAAAAAAAAAAAAAAAAAAAAAAAAAAAAAAGTGCCAGCATAACAGCAAGTCACTCACACTAGTAAATTTTTTATTTTATTTAATTGCAACAGATAGGTTAAAAGAAATAAGTTTAAAGGAAACCATAGATTACCTTATTTTAGACCATTATAAACTTACCTTTTTTCTTTCTGCCCCTTTTCTTTTTAGGCCTCTTCTCATGATTGTCAGTATCTAAAAAAAAAATTTAAAAAATTTAGGTACGGGGCCAAGCTAAGTGGTCCAACTGCTCTGTTACAACTAGTTACTACTAGGGGTCGTGGTCCAACTAATTTAAAAGTTGGACAAACGACTCCTACTATGTTAACTATATGACCTTATGGATGTAACTTTAAATATATGAAACAAATACTTACCTATCACCTTTATATTATATTGATATATTTCAATCTACTACAGGGTGTACATGGACATATAAAAAAAGTAGGACGGAACTCTCGCTAACATAAAACTGAGGCACCGTAATGGCGGCAGCATTTTATTTGTTCGAAATTTTACTGTTTAATGTCATATATCATGAGCTGAGTCTTTTTTTTAATAATAATTTCATTTGCTTTGAGAGGTTCTTGAAATTTCCTCTAATTTCGAGATGTGGTGAAACCGAATCGTTGAATATTTTTCTGCTACGTATCTGATAAGACTTATTTTGTGTTCTATTCCGACGAAAGTATGTTCAGATTAAGTTTAAAAAATGCTTTAATTGCCACCAAACTTTCCTCTAAAGTTTTTGTGAAAATATATATGTGTTGTCTTTATTTCCATCATTACAATTTCTAATTATTTGAATCCAATCATTTCTCCAGACTTCATTTTCCTTAGAAAATTTAGTAAAATAATGTGTAGTAGTAACTAAATAGGAAACCATAATAAATTGATTTTAATAACAAACCAAAAATTTCCTTTGTTTCGGATAATTTGTACTCGTGAAAATTGGCAACACTGGGCTTATAATGAATTCTTTTGTTCTAGCGAATTTTGATTAAGTTTAATGTATAAAATCTAAAAATAAGTGATTGAATTTTTCATTTTCCTGGATTATTTTTCTTTCGGTCATTACGGTTTTTACAGCACTACGCAAACATGTTGTATATTTAAATGTTTTCGCCGCGTAATGCGCTTCGCTGTCTTGATGTTTGCGAGCGTAATGCCTGAACGTACAGCGAGCTGGCCGACTATGAGTGACACAGTTTTTTGCTAGCGAGACTCTGTCCCAATTTTTTTACACTTCCATGAGTGTGTAGTAATAAATTATAGTTTAAAAAACATGATTTTGTAACTAGCCGAAATAAAAAGTAGAAAATAATTGTCTATAAGAAAATTCATTTTTTAGTGAAAAAGCGTGGGGTGCTTTTCAAGATATTTCATAATAGCTTTCAGCCTTTTACTGTCCGCTACTGAAGGAAGGCCTCCACCTCTATCAATAAATATTTTTACAACAGTTCAGATCTAGCGTGGGACTTTGTGTATTCTCAATTATTGTATTGTAAAGCATTTTAAAAAATGTGCTTTACCGGCAGTGGTCGGTGAACAAAACACTGAGCGAGTATAAACACCACAGGCAAAGCTACGCCACGATTCATTTGAAGTGTGCCCAAAAAACCAACAACATGCCGAATGCGCGCCAAGTGGCTAAACATCCTTCAATGTATACCATGTGTTACATTGGTATTGGCTTGCATTAGCCCAAGTTGGTTCAATGTGTACCCTTTATAAATCTTCTTCCATTCGAAAGGGTTTCTTCGGCGATTTTTCCTTCTTTTTCGTTTGTCCTTAATTCTTATTTGTTGAAGTCCATTTGTAATTTTTTTTTTTAGATTGGACAAAGTATTCAGTGAGAAAGGATATATGCTATCTAACATTACGTTACAACCTTTAAGAGAAGGACAGTAGCCATAAATGCAGTTGAAACTACAAGGAGCACAGATATTATTTAATAAATTTAATTCATGAAGTTTTGAGTTACCTGTTCTTTTGACTTGTCTTCTTAGCATAGGCTGTTCTTCATGTTCCCAACTATTGCTTCCGTTATCATTAAGTAAGGGTTCTAAAAATTTAAAATATATTCCAGAATATCTCTATTGGTATTAAATGTCTCCTATTTCAATAAAAGAATAATTTTTAGATAAGAAAGAGATATCCTGTAACTAGCTAGTGGATACAGATCTATATATTCTAACATAACTACCTACCTGTGAATTCAATGAAGACAGACGTGAATTCATAAATTATATGTTTTTGGAGTTTAATTTTTATCAATTTTTTTTTACAATAATCAGACTGTGGCACTCCTTCCTGAGGACCAGTAACAGACATCTGAATATCTGTCTTTACAATTAACTGGACCCGATCTTCACATAATGAACATTGTGTATTATTTTTTATATTTTTATACTTACTATCATTCTTATTGGCTATAACCTCTTTGAATTTCATTTGAAAAAAAAAACAATCTCTTAAACAACTGCATTAGTAGACATGCAAAATAAATGACCTGTATTCTTAATTTTGATATCTTCCAACAAAATGTTATCATCGTCAGCATCCCAGCAGCTGTCATCTCCATCGTCATCATTAAGTAATGGTTCTAAAAAATATAGGAGAGTATTGAGTGAAGAATAGAATCTGGAGCTTGTACTATACTATTGGTACTAGACAACTGACATATGTACATATATCCTTTTTTATTGTAAATACATACATATTATACATAAAAACACCCAAACCAAATCAAACATGAAATGTTCATGCACACAAATGACTTTGACTAAAGCCGGAATCGAACCCCTGACCGTTACACAAAGCACCATATGCGGTCGTCAGAAATCACCAGCCGTGAAAATCATCACCAATCAATAATTTTTTCACATTTTACACATAGGTATCTGATCCCAAATTAGTTACCAGACTGCTGATGAAGATACTTATGTCCCAAATTAGGTAGAGCTTAATAGTGTGACCAGACCCAGAACAAAGCTTAGTGGGAATCAAACCCACAAACCCATATTCTGATGGTTTGATTTGCAGTCTGCAATCTCGATCACTACCTACTAGACAGACAAGCCCATCATTTTCATTGTATAAGAAGCAGCCATTCACCCAAACTTTCACAATGGATTTAAAATTTGTGTAGTAAATGAGTAGTTTTTTAAAATAACCAATTCACATCATCACATCACATTAATACCCAATAATAGTCCACTACTGGACATAGGCCTTTCCTTAGAAGGTTTTAGTCTACTATACCATGCTGGCCAGACAGGTTGGTATGGGGTTTCTTTCAAGTTTTCCTTCTCTTTGCAATGCTGTCCTGCCTAGTTTGCTGCCTTAGTCGGCCATGGGATGAATAGGGGTGGTGACATTCCATATTCTTAATCTGTCACCACACATAAATTACCAATTACTTGATGTTATTATTACCATATTATATTATATCACCAATGAATTTACAAAGGCCATAAAAGTAATTATCAAAACCATGTATCAATATTTCCTATTTTTTAACAGGAGGAAAAAATAAGTACAAACTCAACTTGTTTCTGATTCATTTGCTTTGCATGATGTTTTAGAGGACAGTCTTCTCCTCGTAATAATATATTAATTACCAATCTATATATCTAAATATTTAAATTTGCAACTTTTGTAAGTGTAAAGTATTGAACTATAAATCTTGAACTTCATTACGATTTTTTAATAATAATGGAAGTGTTCCTTACTTAATTATAATAATAATAATCTGGAAATTTACTTACCTAGTTTAATATTATCCTTATTTTCATCTTTAGAAGTTTGATCAAACTTTGGCACTATCGTTTTATCGTTCGTTTTATATTTGTTCTCGGCTTCTTCATATTCGTAAGCTAATTCGTCTTTAATTATATCACCAGAGCAACCATCTGTCTTATTCCTTGTTTCTGATTCTATCAAGAACAGTAACTTTTGCTCACTTTCCTCACATTGTATGTTGAAGACGTATGTACGTTTAAGCTGGCGGCTACATTCTTTACAAATTAAATGCGGTAGGCCGTCCTCTTTGCATGGCTGCAAAGCGTTTAAAAGCAGAATAATTGATTATAGGTTTATTGCAATTAAAATAATACATCTCAATAGTTATTGTTTAACTGTACCTTAAGCTTAGTACAATACGTTATCATGTCACAATACAGAGTGTTTCTTTTTACATAGCGAGTTGTATAAATATCGTAAGTTTGATTGTTTGATTCGAGACAAATTCGACATATTTTTGCAAAATCTATCGCCATAGTTTAGAGTAAATTTGTATGATATTTTAGTGTGCTGAAAAACGGTTTATTATACACAGATTTCTATGTAATGTATGTTATGGTAACATTTTGTTTTAAAACATTATTACTTGATCAAAATTATTCGCCTTGCGTCGTCGATGCAAACAAATATGTCATGACCTGTCAAAATAAATGATGTTGCGTTTTATTACAACAACAAACGTTTGGTAGGATGCAAAAAAATAATTAAATAATATTTAAAGTTTGTAGCACACAAGTATTAACTGGATCTTTAGAAAGTTTAATATATTTAACTTGAGCAATAATCATATAGGTTATATTTTCATAATTTATTTAAAAAATAAAATTTTGTTACACAATTGAAGTAAATAAATCTTTAACGTGTTTAACCTCAAACAATTACTTTAGTTATCTGTGCTGTAGGTGCTGTGGTCAACAACCAACAACATAAAACATAAACTAAAATAAATGATAAATTCTTATATGAAATCAAGCGGGTGAATCTTATCACGATAAAAAATCTTAATATTAATACTGTCCTATGAATTAAGTTCGTAAAATATCATAGAAAATAGTTCTTGGGAGTTCACGAATTTGTTTATCAAAATGTCAGCGCTACAGAAGACCATCATGAAAAACAAATTACCCCCAAGGTGTCCAAGAAGCTCTGGATCAAAGTATGGAAGGGAAACCGAAATTTTACTGCAACTTTAGTTTATACTGTTTCTAGCCATATCTTTTCTCTATCAGCTATGTAAAATTGTAATAAATACTTCTGCTGAATTTATGAACTTTTAAGCGTTTTCTCTTTTTTGTATTGTGTTTACAAGGTTTTTTATATTTTAGAATGGCACCGTTTGGCGCTGGTCGTCGTAAAGATTATACTCCTGTGTCGTGGAAGCAGTACTTCCATCAGCATGCAGATGTCGAAACGGATGGTGGCACATTCAGAGTGTATTTTAGTCCAGTGCCTGATCAATTGGACAGACCCAGGATAGTGACTTTGCATGGAGGCGGTTATTCGGGACTGAGTTGGTCGTTATTTACTGTGAGTTGTTTACTTAGTATTGATGTTCTTTTCTAGCATTTTAATAGTTAGTTCTTTTGCTTCTCTTATACAAATATTTTCACAATTACAGCATATCCTATACTTCTTTCATGTATTTTAAGCACCTACAATAAATTGAAACACAAATATCTGTGTCATATTACCACATGAATGTACAACTTATTGTTTCACTTACTGAATCTCATTTTTAATATTTTATGTGTGTGATGAGATTGTGTTGCAGACATTTAAATATATATATTTCTATTACATTTCGATTTGTTTAAGAAACACAGTGATAAACAAACGGAGGAGGAATTCTTATTGGGTTTTGCTTGTACATGTCTTTTTCTGTGTGATAGTATGATTGGACAGTTTTTTTTAGAGAGAGATTAGTATAAAAGTAAACTCTAATGGTGAGAAAATAAGGAATAAATGATTAATTATTCACTGACTTTTCATCTATGAATTTATTCTGTTGATACTTAGCACATTTTAGAAGTTCTAATGGCACTACAACAAAACCTCTGGTTTATTTGATTGTTACCATGATGTTAAAGAGAGAACTCTTTTAAGGTTCATAGTAATTAGCTTTATGTTAGCTTATTCTTTTATCTTAAAGACTGTTTTAAAGCCTTTAAAACTGTATGCTTGCAGTGCATATGTGCAGTTTGCACACATACATAGTAGGATAGTTAGAGCATTATATATTTTTTTAGAAAGTAACAATTTATATAATGTAAATCAAATGAATAGTAAGCTTGTATTTAAGAAGATAAATAACAAATGTGATAGTTTTCCTAACTTTCACAACCTGTTTTGTTGGTGTTACACTTCCACACACTTCACTCCATTTAAGTTGTATAAATTGATGCATTCTAGCAATTTATGCAACTTAAATGTGACATGCATCATTGGTATTGTATTCATATCAGTATTACTGCTTATAAATATTACAAAGACTCGTTGCGATTTACATATATACATACATATATGGGGCCCGTAGGTCTAGTGGTTAGTTTTCCCGACTGCTAAGCCAGAGGACTTGGGTTCGATTACTACCCAGAATAAATATTGTGTGATGAGCATGGTTATTTGTTCTGTGTGGTTGAAATTTATCTATAATATGTATGTATTAAAAATATATACCTAAGTATGTTTATCAGTAGTATGGTTACACATAGTACAGGCTCTGCCTAGTTTGGGATCAGACTGCCTTGTCTCAGATGTGTAAAGTTATATTTTTTTTAACTACAACTCCCCCCTTAGGAATATATCCTGTGTACACAAAGAACACCCAGACCCTATTGCGGTTAGCTGGGCATATTTATTTCTAAATACATACATATATTATAGAAAAGTCACACCCAAACATAGAACAAATTTATTTACTTAAAGAAAGATTGTTTTGTTATTATCTATACTTAATATGTTACATTCCTTGACAGTTAGAATATCTATTATACTTGATGTCCCTAATGTCTTTACTCTGATTTACTCGTCCTTTGTCCCACTTGAAAACGGTTTCATCTCTAAGGAGGCTTGGCGTCAAGCAGGTGGTCTGTTGCAAAAGAAAACAGCCAAAATCCTTTGATTTGTAACTCTGACATATTTACTATGCTAACAGTTATTCTTTTTTCTCATGCCCACCATCACCAGGCCCTCTTAGAGCATAGAAGTGTATTCTATGCTCTAAGAGGGCTTGGTTGATGTTTTCTGATCTTCATTACCTTAATCTTCAGTTGTGAAGATCATTCTTGTCCAAAAATATTAATGATCTCTCCATAACTTTTCTATATTTTTTTCAGGAAGAGATCACCCAGATGATTCATTGCCAGGTGGTTTCCATTGACATAAGGGGTCATGGAGAGACAAAGGCGAAAAATCCTGAAGACCTCAGCATTGATACCCTTGTCAAGTAAGTGAATTATTTGCATATTTCAACTAAACTACGTACATACAAACACTCACGTCTTTTATCCCTTTTTATTTTATTGACTAAAGTGTTAGTCCCACTTGTGAGCCAGCTTATTGCCGTGCCGTCAGCTGGGCACACACACACATATTTGAATATCTCTTACGAAAGTGTTTTTTCGTTTATTTGCGGTGCCTGCCTCTTTGGTGCAGTGATAGCGTATGCGACTGCTGTGCTGAGGTCTTGAGTTCGAATCCCGGGTCGAACCTAATGTTTGTATGACCTGAAAATATTTTTTCGGAGCTTGTGTGTTTTCTTTGTATAATATGTATGTATTTACAAAAAAAAACTATATAAGTATTCTATCAGTCCATCTAGTTTTCATAGTACAAGCTCTGCTTAGTTTGAAACTAGATGGCGGTTAGTGTCAGATGTCTGAAATATTATAATTATTAATTCGTACCTCCATATACGTAGAAGTAAGGATCACTATCTTGTTTGGACGGCAATCCGAGTGTCCAGCATTAGGGATCAAATAATAGTGCTTAACCCGACTAGAATGACGCTAGTGTAGCCAAAGGTAATGAACATAGTTTAAGTACTTTAATACATTAATAATTAGTTTTAGTTGGCCTATGTTATAATGATCTTGAAAAGTACCATAACAAAGCGGACATTTTTCTTTTTTTGTCTAATTTACATCCTACTCTAACAACTTGCTACCGTGGCGCCACCATAATTTGACGCTGTTTAACGGGCACTTTTTTACGCAGAGATAGATATCCTTACCTCCATAATTTTGTATAAAATTTTTGGTAGCTTGATTGTTTCTTTAACAAACTTAACGAGACTCGCAAATTACTATCTTCCATTCACAATTGATAGGAATTAAAATACAAATTTCCCCTTTCAGGGACGTAGAACAAGTTTTGCAGAAGTTGTTCTACAAAGATTGTATCCCCCCATTAATTCTGATGGGACATTCTATGGGAGGAGCTATTGCCGTACGAGTTGCACATCTTCCTTCCCTGGAGTATGCTGTATGTGGCATTGCTGTTATTGATGTCGTTGAAGGTAAGGAACAAGTTATCGTCTGCGGTATTTCCGGTCCGATACGACCTACAAACCTTCAAGAAAAAGGCGTACTCTTTCCTCAAAGACCGATAACGCGCTTGTGACTCCTGAGTTGCAGGCGTTCATGAGTACTAGTCACTTTCTATCAGGTGACCGGTCTGTTGACTCTTTCATAAAAATAACCATTTTATCAAATGTTAGGTGTTTACAAGTAAGATAACTACCATTGTTTTGGGTTTTCTAAAGAAGCAGGTAATGATTTACTTTTAAAAACAAGTTCTGCCTTTTACTGCCGTGTAAGTTATGCACAAGCTAAGTAATAGAGTACTTATGAGTTTTACAAAAGTGATTGATATTAGGCAAGAGCCAATGGAAATCTTTACAGAAAACAAATTGACTGGTTTTTAAATTTCTTTTGTAATTATTTTTTATGGGATAGGAGACAAACGATCAGAGGTTTCACCTAATGATAAAGAATTATCGTCGCTCCTAATTCCTGCAAATCGAGAGACACAAACGCGTTAATGCCCCCCCCACTAAAATGTGGGGACGGGAGAATTGGGATTACAGGGATCTCGCTCACTCCATGAAGAACAATGAAAAAATTACTTAACATCAGTTTTCACTTCTTTTCGTTATCACTTTGGTTGATATGGCCTATATTATGTGATGAAGCATAGCTGTTCCTTGTTTATTAGTAATAGATATAAAAACTTCTTGTATAAACCGCAATAAAGTCGCATTTTATTTAATTCTACACCATAATTGAATTAGGTACTATTGATTATGTCACAGTGTTATACATATATTTTTTCTTGTACTTACTTTCAACCTCTGTATGTAGGTGTAAGAAATGATGATAATAACATCATCAATTATCAACAGCCTTTAACAATCCACTGCTGGACATAGGCCTCTCCCTAGAAAAGAGGTTTTGGCCTTGTTTCAAGTTTTCCTTCTATTTGCGGTGATGTTGTCCTGCAGAATTTGCTCCCTTAGTCGACTCTTACGGCACCCACGGAATGAATAATGACACTTCGTATTCTGAATCCGTCACCACACAACAAGGCGATGATATACAATAATATAAATTTTAATTTAACAGGTACGGCAATGGATGCTTTAGCTAGCATGCAGAGTTTCTTAAGGAGCAGACCAACACACTTCAAGAGTATCGAACATGCGATAGAATGGTGGTAAGTTGACAGTATATTTATTCTGTGGGACTGAACATTTTTATAGTACATTTGAGTTAAGTATGTGATAGTGACGCATTGATCAAGCCCCGCCCCCTGACCAATTAGGTTTCAAGCTTTCGTAGGAAACGATAATTTTTTGGCACTGGGGTTGGGTGATTGGTCAGGGGGTGGGGCTTAATCGATTCGTCACTATTTTCTCACCGCAAATGGTCTATCCATTTGCGTTGTCATATTTCAGTACAAGTTGAGCTTTTCAATGAATTATTAAACTGATTTTGTTTTTCTATTCAAGTGTTAGGAGTGGTCAAGTCCGCAATGTGGATTCAGCCAAGGTGTCTATGCCAAGTCAAATCGTAAAGTAAGTTAATATGAATAAGTGATCTCTTTAAAAAACATACATGTTAGAATAAGCGAAATGATTTGTTTTAATTAAAAATAAATGTTCAGGTAAATAGAGAAGTAATATTAAATTTATTTTCTTGATTTGTTTGAAAATAGGAATGGAAATTTGTTACTTATGCATGTACAGGATCATCCTGTCACGATGGGCCAGAAATGTTTGCAAATAGCAACACTGAGTGCCAAAAACAGAGGAACTTTTATTTACTAATTTAAAAAAAAAAATATCTTACACATCCCACACGCGGCAGTCTAGGCAGAGCTTGTACTATGATAACCAGACTGCTGATAAACATACTTATATATTTCAAATATATACAATTATAGATAAATTACATCCAGACACAGAACAAATGACCGTGCTCATCACACAATATTTGTCCTGGGTGGGAATCTAACCCACGGCCTGCGGTTTAGCAGTTAGGGTCACTAACCACTAGACCAACAGACCCTTTAAAATTAAATAGAATATTTAATTTATTTGATCTTCTAAAATATTTTTTAGAAATAAAATTATTGTTTAAACTGCAAACTGGCGTTCTTACCACACCGTTATCAGATATAAGACCGCCCATTGTACTCAATATTAACATAAAATATAAGATCGATTATAATTTTTTATGGCGAACAATAAATGGTATTACTATTGTTAATGTGGACATCGCTATAAATTTGTGTCTAATGTACCTACAGTTGCGAAACGAATGAGCTAGCTATAAACGAAGTGGAGAACTACGAGCCCAGTGAAGAGACGCCGGTGGTGGCCACGCGCCACGAGCCCAGGGCCGACTCCATCGCCGAAGAGTCCGACGGTAGCGAGGACGAGCTGAGCTTCGTTAAACCGGCTGTAGGAGATTGCCCCGTCGAGGATACTTCCATGAAGTAAGTTATGTATATTAGGTTTAGGACATAATCACCTTCGATGACAATCTACTGAAAGTAAAGTAAAAAATTCTTCATCTAAACGTTAAAATCCTCCTTCCTTTTAGGACCTTTTTAGTGTCTGTTTGCCATTGAGTTTAGTAAGGAGTGGAATGAGACACGAGATCATGTTTATAGTCCATCTAATCTAAGAGGTAATCTTTGACGTTTCATACTTTTCAAAACGCAACAACTTTGTATAGGCATAACCCACACAATTGCCGTAACCTTCTACGTAAAACCATGGAATTATGAAGTAATATTTATTTTATCGCAAGATGTACAATTCTTAATGACTAAATTTAAATCTTTGAAACAAAACAAATTAACTAATTTATACACAATAGATGTTTTTTTTAAACTTCCTTTTAAAGTCACGTAGTTAGGTCCTTTACCACAGTGTTGTGGCTCTTCAATTCTCTTGAATACGAATAATCGTTAAAATGTTCGAAAGATCGAATTTATTAATAACTAATCATTTTCAACCCAGGCGTCTTAAAGAGTTTAATAATACTTAAAATTCATCTGACAATCAACGTCAACGAAAACGCAAAATTTGAATATGTAAGATAATGTGATTTTAAATAAATCTTTGTAGGCAAAATCGCTTTATAGTAACATACATAAATCTGTAATCGATTAGTACATACTGAGAAATAATATCGATACCTCTTAAGAATCGGATATTGTAATAATCGATTTTTTTGACCATCACTATACTTCAATCTGTCACAACTGTCAAACGGTACCTCTTAGATGGACTATGTTAGAAACAGACAGGGCATATATATAATACTAAGTGGTGCGTGTGTATAATTGTTTTATTAAATTTCTAAAGTTAATCTATAAATGTGACTTATCTAAGTACGTGCAATTATGTACGACGTGCTGTCGCTACATTTGTATCGGCTAAAAGTGTTACAGCATAACCAGGCGGGTGAAAGCTCGTTTGCCACTCGAAGACTAGTAAATCGTGTTTGCTGTAACGTGTAAGTGTGGTCGGTCAGGTACAAGTGGCGCATCGACCTGTCGAAGACGGAGAGCCACTGGTCGGGCTGGTTCAGCGGCCTCTCCGCCGCCTTCCTCTCCGTGCGCGCCCCGCGCCTGCTGCTGCTCGCCTCCATCGACGGGCTCGACCGCGACCTCACCGTCGGCCAGATGCAGGGTACGCGCCGCCCCCTTCTATACTCCATTCGCCTTAAGAAAAAGTGACCACCGATCGAACCCTGCAAACTGATCTATCAGATTCCAACATTTCTTTTCGTTTCTTATTCCAAGACTAGTTTTGACCGTTTTTTATAATTAACTAGACTATACTGTACTGGTTAATCTCGATTTTTTAAACATAAAAGAAATTATCGTTTCGTATGAAAGCTTGGAACCTAATTGGCCAGAGGGCGTGACTCGACCGATGCGTCACTATTTTCTTAACGCGAATGGACTATAGTGACCTCTTGAACAATACTCATCTTTGTCTCCATCCGAGATTGCGGTATTCCCTACATCAGCAATCGCACCCTATCCTGTTTCGTTCCTCTAATTTACCGTCATCGTTTGCCCAGCCTAAAATGATTACCATTCTTAAAGAGTCAAACGGGCAACTGGCCATAGAAAAAATCTGTCAAAACCTTTGTAATGTTATAATTGCACCAACCCCAAAGAAAATTATCCACATACCTATCACACTCTTTTTAAAAATTTGTACCTTCTATTTTGTGGACACAGATTTTCAGTTTTTTTTTTGTAATAATTATACATAATGTTTTTATACATAATAATTATACATAATGTTTTTGTAACTAAAGGTAAATTCCAAATGAAAGTCCTGACGCGATGCGGTCACGCAGTGCATGAAGATTCTCCAGAGGAGGTGAGCTTTGTTCATTCATTTAAAAATTTACAGTCATCTTTTGGACTCTTATTTTATTTGTGGCTCGTGACTTAGTGGCAACTGAGTAGGTCAGTCTATGGATGGGTGACCATTTTCAACACATCGGACCCCTCCGCAATTAGAAAATTACGCTAAGCCGTCGGTCCCAGTTGCCTTGCAAACATCTCGGGTAGAGGGAACATTCTTCTATAGAACTTCGATATCATTGTGATGAGAAATAAATAAATTATTATTATATTGTTATTATCAGCTAGTATTTGTAGAGATTTGATTCCAGTCGTCCCACTTAAAGTTCAACCTGGTCGTAGTAGACTGGAAGCCGACCCCAACCTAGTTTGGGGTGCTTTGGAGGACTCTTATTTGATTTGTATGTAGAAAAGAACATGAAACCATGGAGTAACATAGTGAAATTCAATGCGTACAATATTTTGTTTTAATCATTTACCACTAAAGTTGATTTTACTGATAGGTATAATAAATAATAATAATAAAATAATATGCTGCTTCCATAAAAAGAAAACATGCCATAGCTAACAAACTCCTAATAGCTCCTAATAAAAAAACCGGATTTATATCACATTTACCGGAAAAGGTGGGAAAGTTAAAAAAAATCTGACAGTTCTGTTAATTATCTAGCACGATTATCTTTCAGTTCGTTCTTTCCGTTTGACATATTTATTCAAGTCTTTAACTAAAAGCCTATCGAAAAATAACAATATGAATCTTCTAATCGATTTTAATCAATGTTCTACAAAAAAAATTATGTTCCCAATTTCGACTGTAGTCTAATCGTTAAAAATATTTCTTAATTCACAGTTTTTTTTTGCCTTTGTCTAAATATATTGTAGATTGCATGCGACTTCGTTCACGAGTAATTTGAAAGGCGCTGCTTTAGTGGTGTAGTACCATACGCGACTGCAGTCCATGAGAGCTCAAGTTCGATTCCAAGACCGGGCAAAATTTTCTAGGGTTTTTTCTGAGAGGAAAAACAGCCTGCGTTACTCCTACCTGCACACCTGCTACTATACAGCCACCTGGTAGTAAAATTTTATTAAAATCAGTCCAGCCGTTTTGAAGATTACTCGGAACAAACCGATAGACAGCCAAAAAATATTTAAACTATTTTTTAGGCATAGGTATCGTGCAAATAACCGTGTGAGTATGAAAAAAATCTATTATGTTGACATTACAAACAGACACTTCAATATTTTTTTGTCAAAGGTTTACTAGCAACTGAAATTACTGGTATTCCCTTTAACCACTAAGTTAAGCTAAATTGCTTGTGTTAGGAGTGGGATCACGTCGGTAGTGTACTGGTCAGGATTGGAACCCACGACCTCTTGATTGCAAGTCCAATGCCTTAACCACTAGGCTACCGTCGCTTTATTGGTATAGATCATTAAACTATCTTTTAATTCCTTTCCAGGTGGCCCGAGTTCTGGCGTCGTTCATCCTGCGCCACCGCCTCACGGCCGCTATCGACGAGGACAGAGCCGGGGAATTCGTCATGTATAACTCGTAATCATACATCACCACTCGACACATACTTTAATACACTTTTAAGCATTCTAAAGACTTGTTAATTATCAATATCTAATTCTATGGTTGTTATTGCCCTTTTAATGACCCAACAGTAACCTTTTTTTTTTAATTTATGACAGGTAGAATTAAATATAGAAAAAAAAAATACTGGTTATTGCAGCAATGTAACTTTTTATTCGATACAGATAAAAAAATATATTATTAAAACAATCTAGTTTGAATTTATGACAAGGAAATAAGCAAAATAATATTTTAATAATAAACATTGTCTAAATACTGGTATAAATACATCGTTTTGAAAGTTTTGAGTTACCGAATAAGTCTCGATAATACATAAACAAACAATATTCTTCCTTCTGACAGGACAGGACACTACAGTAAAAATTATTATAACTGTCCTGTTGGTCTAGTGGTTAGTGAGCTCTCAGCTAAGCCAGAGGATCGTGGATTCGATTCCTACCCAGGACAAACAATTGTGTGATCAGCATGCTCATTTGTACAGTGTCTGAGTGTAATTTATCTATAATGTGTATGTATTTCAAAATATATAACTGCTAACACAGGCTCTGTCTAATTTGGTATCAGATAGCCGTGTGTGAGTGTGTCAAGTCCAATAATAGCTCTAGGGACTAGCAACGTTTAAAATAACGAAAATTAAAACAAAAAACGGCGTGAGGGGTCTATGGACGTCGGAACGAAGCTCCTTTCGCTTTTTGGTTGTTTGCTATATATCTGAGCGTCGACGCGCCAACTGAAGTGTCGGCAAAGTTTTGTTACACATTTTTCGGTCTCGTTCCCATCCGCTCAGAGCGTGTAACCTTCGATAAGGACCTTCGTTCCAAAATCTCTTCATGTTTTTAATATTAGTATTGATATGTATGCTCACACACCTTGGTTGGTGTATCGCGTGTAACTTAAATAAGTCTGAATGTAAGTAGTTATTTAATTCTTCGCTTAACTATTGCTTCGAACTTTAATCTATTTTTCGATTTAACGTTCACATAAGTATTTAAATAATACATTTTCGTAATTATTTATAGTATTTTATCACGCTTATGTTATATATGTACTTACATGTAATAGTTCCACTTTAGTTTTTATTTCCTTTTGATTAATATCCAAATAGATCTGAGAATTCTGTTCTCGTCTATGTACTAAAGGTTAATATGTATGCAGTTATAATTGGCGAAAGTATTCGGACCAGTTTCGAGGAGCATAAGAATAGTCTAGAACTTATCCAGTCTTAATAAAAACAATAAGTAACTTTATTTATTTATTATTTTATTTTGAGGACATTTTAATAATAAGTAATTCAGGTGTAGGCCTAAAAATTGTATAATATGTTATAATTAATGCTCAAACATTTCGCTGGATGATTCTTCGATATCTTTACGTAAATCCCGCTGTAATGTGTACTACGTACTGTTACACAGGTAAGTTTTATGGCCCTTGTTATTATAATAAACTGGCTATGGCCCTTGGCTTCGCTCGTGCGGCTAACCTTATTTCTAACATTACTAAAAATTCTTAGTGAGTGCTTGCATGATAAAATCATCAGCTGCTAAAATTTTAAGTTTGTAGCCCCAGCGGTTTAAGCTCTGCGTTGCTGAATCAGTGAGTCAGTCACTGCAAGTAATTTTGTATTTACAGATTATCAATTTTTTTTGTCTGCCTCGATTCGACTGTAACTAATAGTGAACCGACATATGTATGGATGGGTGTGATCTAGGTGGTCGTGCCTGGAACAGTATATGTTTATATCTGCCGGATTGTATCTATCCGTCAGTTAGCATTTACTTCATCTGAAGTAAACGCTAACTGACGGATAGATATAAATATATCTGGTTAGAGAACATAGATATAATTACTTAAATTTTGGTTTTAAATGTCTACTACAATGGTCTGAAAGCACTTTTCTCTATTTTATAAAAACGATTACAAACAATTTTTTTTCATAAGTTTTTGCAAAAGAAGTTATGCTACGTTGATATGCTTGTCTTCACATAAAAGGGATTTTATTTCACAATTTCTAAGTAATATTATGTAAAATATCGTTCATATTAATACATCCTGGTTGACGAACATATGCTGTCGTCCATTTCTGTTAATTATTTAAGTTATCTACTCGGAAGCTATTATTGTATAGATGTACAGATGATATCTGATGTTTGAAACGAAATAAATATATATTTGATTCTTAATGTTTGTTTTATTAATATTTCAAGTTTCAATTATTTGTAGAATTCTGTAAAATCTATGAGGCTCTCCATTCTCCTTCATTACGAAAATGGTACGTTTTTTAAGTTTGTGTTGTGTATGTCTTATGTCCGTGTGGTGACGGATTAAGAATACAGAGTGTCACCACCCCTATTCATCCCGTGGGTGTCGTAAGAGGCGACTAAAGAAGCAAACTACGCAGGACAACAGCACTGCAGAGAGAAGGAAAACTTGAAACAAACCCTATACCAACCCGTCTGGCCAGCGTGGTATAGTAGGCCAAAACCTCCTTTCTAAAGGAGAGGCCTATGTCCAGCAGTGGACTAGTAAATACTGTTGATGATGATGTGATGATGTATTACATATTGCCAATCACTTCTTCTAATTCTTAGGTCATATTTGTTTTCATGAGAAGTTTTTTTTTTAACGCGACTACCTATAGTATACTTCATGGGCTAGTCTTCTAGAGCAACTACTTACCACATCTGTTTACCCTCAACGTTATCAATCAATTATACTGGCCATAAGATATACACCACCAGCATATTTCAAAGACGTGGGCAGTCTTACACCGGTGTCATCAGAGACAGATCGTCCAGAAAATGAAGAACATTTCGGGCAATTTTTATGCAATGTTAGCGAGTTCGTAAATGAACTGAGCAATATCTCAAAACCTATTCGTTTTTGGTGAAATATTAGAAATAATAAAACAAAATTACATAAAACATTATTTATTAAATCAGATCGATGACAATAAATACAAGCTTATAGCGTAACATGGTAACTATGAGTACAAACTTTGTTTGTGCGACTATCCAACTACGATGACTAGCAAACAGTTTATTCACGTGTTTTCTAACGTTTATACTGATTTGAACGTTGAGCTCTCTCGCTAACCACAAACAGATTAAGTACATACATTCAAAATAACACCAATCTTGGTACAGGCCGTCTTAATTACCTCCAGTCTACTGTTATTGCCCAAATAAGAAATGAACTGAATATGATCATGCAGCAATGCTTTGCACCCAATATAAGCTGAGGGCATAAAAATGGACCAATAAAACCTGCCCTATTTTTTTGTATTATTTGTAATCAGCTATTAAGTTTCCAATAAAATATATTGCATTTTATGTAAATCGCTACTTTATTAAAAGTTTTGCAGTTTTAAGCATGGCCTGATTCTATACACACCAGTTAGTACACGAACCAGGATCAGAAGACAATAACCGGGTTTTTTATTTTAACACTGTACTTTTGCATAGCATAGCACTTTGGCGTTATTTTGAATCAGCATTTTAACGACATCTAGTTAATCAAGAATCAAGACGTGTATTAACTCAAGAGCTCTTTATAATAAGTTCTTAATAAATAAGTAAATAATCTCGATTCTCACTGTTCAAACGACTACATAATTGTTAGTAATAATATGTCAACTGTTAATAGAATAATACGAATTTAGACACTTGCAAACTTAATAGACTATGTGTGTTTGCATTTGAAAAAAATATGGTTTTCTTGTGCGTTATCTGTTATAGAAACAAAATGATTAATTATTGATTGAATTTATAGTGTGTTAAATTAAATGTAAACAACCTTATAACAACGGTATCTTATAAAAGTTCAAACAAAACTAAAAAAGAGCCCACAAATTCAATTATTTTATAAATTTAATTTTGACCTTACTGAATGTTTCATCAGATTTGCGGTTCTTTTAATAATTCCAATTCAAACTCATCATAAACTAATCCAAATTCGTATTAGGCCTGACGTTAAAAATGATTTTATTATTTTGACATGGTAACACTTTCTATAACAGTGTTACAAGGATGTTTACACTTAGGACCCGTCCGCACAACGATATTTTCACCACGCGGTTTGTATCAAATTAAGGTTTTTATTTTCCCCAGTGCACATGGGGTATCCGCATGACTATCCACATGCGGATATCCCATGTGTCACAGAATTTTGGGGAAAAAAAAACGCGCGGTAAAATATCGCTGTGCGGACGGGGCCTTACATGAAAGATGATCCGTCCAAAGGATAGCTCAATAAACTACCTCGTTGTCTCGTTTCCTCTTGACTTGCTGCTATATAAGCTAAAAAGAGGAGGAACATTCCTAAGGTTTAAAACCTTGCTATTATATATTAATGATTAATTAATGTACATGACCCGTTGTATAACTTTGGATGTGATATTTTACAAATTTATCTACCTTTTTGTTTTTAGGCAAGAAAGGTGAATAAATTCCAATAAATATTTCGTAATTAATTTAGTTTAATATAATGACTAAAGCGGTTATCTCTGTATGTAGCGATTATATTAGGAAACAGATGCTGGTTTATGTAACCCAAAAACAATGATAAATGAATATTGTCGCTATATACAAAGACACCACCAATACATTTTAAATGTAAGTATAAATATAACAATATGAAGGCACAGATACTTTAAGAGATGTCTGAAAGCGATTTAAGAAATAAATATTAAAAATACATTTCTACTTCTTCATTAGCTTTACATTGTAGCAAGGCGTCGCTAACGTGATGTTAAGGAACTCATACTTCGTGACCCATTACGGGAGTCAAAGTTTCGTCATGTAGTCAAAAATATAAGGCAATGTTCTTTTTAATGTTATGTTTGCAAAAATTGATAAAAACCATATTATTTACTAGCTGGTACCCGCGACTTCGTTCGCGTGGTATTTGAAAAGCGCTGCCTTAGCGGGTTCGATTCCTGGACCGGGCAAAATTTTATAGGGTTTTTCTTAGAGAAAAAATACCCTAAGTTACCCCTTATATAGACAGCTACGTGTTAGTAAAGTATTATCAAAATCGGTCAAGCCGTTTTGATGATTACCCGGAACAAACAGACAGACAAAAAATGTTAAAACTGTTTTTTATAGTATTAGCATAGTTATCGTGTGAGCATGAAAAAAACTATTATTTTGACATTACAGACAGGCACTTAATATTTCCGTATAGAAGATGAAAGATGAATTACTACGAAAAGAATAGTGGGGACGGTGGTGAAGCGGAGCGGGAGGTCGGTCTTGGCCTATAATACGGATGGTCACCGAGTTGCGTTAAACTATTCTAAAAAAAAGTGCCGAGTGCTGACAGAAGTGAAAACTTATATACAGAGGTGTCGATAACGGTAACAGTGTCGCGATTTCAATGGTTTTTTTTCCATCTCAAAACAAAAATACATTATTTTGTTGTTGTTCAAAAATGCCCAACGCGCCTAAGTTTTCACTTCAAAAATGGGTCACATAGCACGGGTAGGTTTCCATACCGTGGTGGGGTTAAAGTATGAGTTCCAGAATCGCTAATGAGAGATCATTAATTCAAACCCTATTATCAATCACATTGCAATATCAGTCACTTAATATTTATGCTTAAAATGGCATGCATCTCTCAAAGGACGTGCAGTTTTAATATTAACTATTTATTTAAAATTGGAGATCCAAGAGATTTAAATATATGGCATATAGAGGTGATAGAAATAAATTTATGATCGCATCACACGACACTCTTCATCTCTTGCTTGACGCAAGACTTGAATGCCTCCCATCCTTCGTTCTTTGCAGACGACTGTAATATAAATATGCCTTATTATAATGTTTTTCCAGCGGACTGTGAATGTAGACTTTTTTAACGAGGGCCAAATGCGAGTTTATTTTACATCACCTCGCTCTAGACAGCGAGCGCGTTTGGTGTTGCGGTTGGTGACGATCGAGTATATGTGAAATAAATCTTGGTCTGGTCATTATCACTAATGGGTAAGTACTTATGTAGATACAGACCTAATCAAAAACACACAAATTTAAAAAAAACAATTAAAAACATTAAAATCGGTAAAGAGGTTTAGGAGTTCAGCGCCATACATATGTACAGAAGCATTATTATACGTCGAGTACGTATACATATATAAAGTTGAGTAAATAACGTGCTCAAGTTCAAGTATCCAATACGGATAAGCTACATTACTTAATAGCTGGTCGAAATTAAATTTGTTAAATTGTGCTTGACACAGGCAGATTCTATATTCATTTACTTTATTATTATAATTTAATTACTATAGTTACTTTTTCCTTTATTAGTGTATTAGTCTTATTTACATTTATAAAAAAAAGATACATTATTTTTATGTAAAACTACTTTAATTATCAAAAAATGGTTTAAACGTAGAAAGAAGTCGGCTATGACCGTAACATAAAATGTGATTGAAGCATATAAACCAGTTCTTCATTTAAATTCAGTCACGAATGAGATCATTTTGTTTTGCCACGTATACAAATGACTAGCCTTGAAAGTTTTGTAAGTTGTGATAAGTTGCAAGCTATTTCATTATAACCGTCAACTGGCCCTGTGGCGCAACGGATAACGCGTCTGACTACGGATCAGAAGATTCCAGGTTCGAATCCTGGCAGGGTCGCAATACTTCCTTTTTGCTTTCTTTTTATTTTTGCAATTATTTATTTGTTTATTACTTCTATTAAAATACTTCTTTTAGTTTAAATGCTAAAAAACTTAACACATGAGTTATCGCTTTTATCACCACTAGCAATATTAATTTTTACCTAAGATTATGTATATAATATATTATTGCAGAAAGTACTGTAAAAATAATATCGTGGTTTGAATATAATTAAAAAAGAAGCATTTTCTCATTTTTTAAGATTTTTCTGCGGATGTTTTTTATTTTTGTTATATATATAACCAAACAAATTATACGCATACCAGACGCTACATATGTGTTTATAGCATAACCGTACTTTTGAATTTTATTTCTTTTTTTATGTTAGAGGGGGCGGACGAGATGACGGGTCACCTGATGGAAAGTGACCATCGCCACCCATGAACGTCTGCAACTCAGGAGTCACAAACGCGTTGTTGGCCTTTTAGGAAGGAGTACGCTCTTTTCTTGAAGGTCGCATCGGTCCGGAAATACCGCAGACGATAACCCGTTCCACAGATTGGTTGTGCGGGGCAAAAAGTGTAAATAAAAAAAAGTTCGTAAAATACCTTTTTTTTTTAAACTTATTTTTTCATATAAATGTTTATGTTTCGGTACCTTGAACCCGCGGTGCAGTCGATCCTTCATGATGGCAATGAACTCCTTGTAGCTGAGCAGCCCATCCCCGTCCTCGTCGAAGATGGCGAACACCGTGGACACCAGGTGCTCCGTCTGGGCGATGCCCGTGCAGATCTTCACCGCGCGGTGGAACTCGTCTGGGGAATGTATCCCCTTACATTATAATATATATTTTACTGAATCACAAGCTTATTACCCTCTTTTACCCCTACTGGGGTAATTACCCCTAGGTTTGGGAACGCGGTGCTAGTTTTCGTTATTAAATTAAAGCGACAATATTAAAATTGAATCTTAATTACGATTAAAAATATACGTTAGTAATTGAATAAAAAAATATTGGTGTTGTTTTAATAGTTTTATAGTAAGATATTTATACATGCGCCATCTATTATATTTATACTGAACTATTGCGGATTTTATCAGATGCTAAGCAATTTTATTTGCTAGAAAATACTAACGTTTTCCTAACTGATAAGGCTGTTGAGGAAGCGAGACCGTCACTGCCATAAATTGCTCGTTTTCGTTAACAAAATTCGATGTTGTATCTTACCTTGATTGTATTTAATAACATGAAATCAATATGAAATAGCCTGAGTGAGTTTCTTGGGACTTCTTCTTAGTCAGTTGCCATGCATGCATGCATACATGGGTACTTGTTTTATGTTTTTAACCGACTTCAAAAGAGGGTTGACCGACTATAGCTATGACTATGGCTAAGCAAAAATTCTACTTCTAGGCGTTAAATAAAAAGATGAAGAAAATGGCCAATTACAAATATCAAAAGGCAAATTGGTTCCTTTAGCGTCCATCTTGTGAGCAGAAGGGTAATGCAAAACTTGGTTTGAAAAAAACTCTACTCACTAAGTCATCATCAAAATCAATCATCATGTCAAATACCAAATGGTGTTTTGATTTTTCTGCAATACTTTTCGTAAAATCTTCTGGAACCTTCCGATCTTAGATTTCGGTTTAGGTACCAACAGTTTAATTTGCATTTTTTTTTAATTCTACCTTACATCTTTGGAATAAACTTTTACCTTTAGAGATAGGATGATCAGCGAGCGTATACATCCTCATCGCGATGGTGAAGTCCTCCAGGTTGTTGAGGAACTGACAGAAGGTCTTGAACTCTTCGAAGGTGATGCCGGCCTCGTCCTTCATGCGGTCGAGCAGCCGGTCCAGGTACATGTCGTACTCGTCCGTGTCTAAGTACGTGTACCGCAGGAGAATCTTCGCGAAGTCCACTTCGGAGATCGTTTCGTGGCCTGTGGGGGTTAGAAGTTGGTATGTTTTCGAATTCTATACCGGATTTCCACCCCGTGGTGTAATCATCAGTTGGTTTAATAATTTTATGTAAAAACACGTTTCCACACTAAGAATGATTCCCGTGGGGTGGGAAAACATGGATACAAAGTACATCTAGACTACGACAGCTGTGTGAATCACAGGAATACTTTACATACTCTTAAATTGAAAACCCATAATTGGTAACCTCCTTTCCAAGGCCTATGTCCAGCAGTGGACTAGTAAAGGCTGTTGATGATGATGATGATGAATTGGTTGGGAAAATCATAGATTAGCAATACTTAAGATGCATTTTCCTGTAGCCACCTTATTTTTTTTTAATATTTGTCATTTAGAACATGATTGTCACTCAGCGTATCGGCGAGGGCAACTACTTTAGCCATTAGGTTACTCAACTATTTTCTGTATGTAACATTTTAGTAGAAGCATAAGATTAAAAATTCTTTGTATGAGTGTATTATTTAGACTGATTTTGCAATTTCGCTGAGTTCCTGTCCATGACAATACCAATTAAACAAGAATTTACAGGGGTTTAATTGATGTACAAGCTCATGTCTATTTTTTATTTGCGTTTAGCATCATTGGTTGGCTTTAAGGTTAAATTATTAAGTAGATTCTTTATTATTAAATATTAATAGATAGATATAGTACAAAGTCTCTATATTTTGAATGTATATGTTTAATCGGTTTTTCCTAAAAATTACCTTTAGCGAATTCGTGGAATTCCAGCTCGAGTACTTCTGTCTGCAAGTTCTCCATAAACTGCTTGAAGCCCTCGAACTTCAGATCGCTAGTGCCTTTCTTACCGAAGAAGTGCACCTGGAATTCAATGACAAATAAAATAAGATATGCTGTGAACAAAAGACCACACTTTAATTGAAAACCCATAAAGAAGATAGCTCATTGTATGTCCTATTACTTCTGGAGAACTGAATGCTCGTTTTAAATAAGCACTGAAGACGCTAACAGCTTATCCTATCTTGCTGATTAATTGTATTTTTTTTGTGGAAGAGGGCCCAGACGGGGAGAATGCTCTGCTGATGGAAAATGACTATCGCCGCCCATGAACGCCTGCAGCTCAGGGTTCACAAACGCGTTGCTAGCCTTTTAGGAAGAAGTAATCTCTTTTCTTGAAGGTTTAAAGGTCGTATCGGTCCGGAACTACCGCAGACGATAACTTGTGCCATAGATTGGTTGTGTGGTTTAAGGCAAGAAGTACAAAAATGTCTCCTTCAACGACGTCTTAGCCCGGACGCTACGACCGTTTAACCTATTAGTAGCTTTTTATACGAATATAATAGAGCAGTTATACTAAGAGTTTGCTTGTTCGGTTGAAAGTTCGCTAATCTCAGGAATTTGAAAAATTCTTTTGGTGTTATCCAACAGTTATCGCTCGTTTATTGAGGAAGGCTATATAAGACCACGCTAACACTCAAACTCAAACTCAAAATACCTTTATAACATAAAAAAAATGTTTGAAATCGTCTTTTAAAGTTTACTCTAAGGTTATAGATAGAACACACACAATAGCAAGAATCTCCGTTTTGTCAAATAGTTAGCAAAATAAATCTAATAAAAAATATACAAAATCTATTTTATGCCTGTGCCGATCTACAACCAAGGGCGTTTACAACGGGCGTTTCCAAGGGGTTGAGCCTTATGAGAAAAAAGGGCAAACAAACTCATGACCACTACTACCACTACACTAATAGGAACATCAATTAAAAATGTTTCAAAAACGGGGCAATTTAGAACAAGTTACATTAACTTACCTGCAAGAAGGTATCAACAACATGTCTCCTCTGCAACCCCTGGTCATCATTGATGAAGTTCTCATGGGGCTTTCCGCCGTCCTTATCGTCTTCCGCCATGCCCCTCTTGCCACGCCATGCAAAACTGAAGATTTTCTCCATCTGAAACACAGTTACTGTATGATAAATACAACTTTCTTTTTCTGTCTTTTAAAAGCTGCTGAGGATGTAGACAGTGTTAATTTGAGGAAGTAATCTTCACGCACCATGAAAATTGTAAGCTGAGGTTATATTCACGCTACTTATTCCCGAAGGGGTAAAGCTGGGAGCTGTATTAGATGCAGAAGCTTGCCAGATTACAATCGTCTATCGGACACATTCGTAGACTGTTACTAAGAATTTTAATATCTTATATTACAGTATAACAGTCTACGAATGCGTAACAATTTTCCCCGTTTAACAGCATATAAATGAAAGTGAGAACTACCTATGTATATGTAACTAGTATTATTATTAACTTGACTACAAAGGTTATCGATAATTATATTGCTCATTTCGTTTGAAAAAGTTTGAAAGAGTCAAGGAAGAATGTTTTGCGTGATCTGGCGGTTAGTGAGCCTATTTGCCAAGCATAATTCGTGGGTTTAATCTAATTTGTTCTATGACTGAGTGTAATTAATCTACAATATGTGTGTATTTAGATATTTTTAAGTATATTTATCGGCGGTCAGAGCATAGTGCTGACTCTACCTTGTTTGGGATCGGTGTGAATCTGAACGTCATTGGAGAGCGTCGAGGTAATAAATGTGTGATATCTAAACTTCTTGGCTTGGCTATAGAAAGTATAGCAGAATTGCGATCTGGTCAAGAATTCTGTTATACTTTCTATAGCCCTGGAGTACCAACAGATTTTTTATGTGAATAGACAACTCCCGCACTAGGAATATATCGTTTGTTTGGGACTTTACAAACATACAATAAAACGGATACAAAGAACACCCATACTCCGACTAACAATTTATGAATCACACATAGTGTTGTCACATGTGGGGATCGAACCCACAACACTCAGCGCCGTAGGTAGCGGCGAGGTGACCGCTTAAACCACTACGCCATCCGTGCTATAAATGTGTTTGTAAATTAATGTTAGTCGAAACATTGAAGCACAATTTGTTGTGGCAAACAATTAGGTAATTATAATACAGAGGAATAATTTTGTGTTAAAAATATGTGCAGCATATCAATAATGTATTAGAAAATGTTGTAATACATGTTAAGTTAACTTTACATAGTATATACGTTTATAGTACTTAAATAAGTTATGATATATGTATGTACAAGTAACAATAAAAAACAACGTAAACTTATTAATATAAAAATCACAGAGGCCTTATGCATTAAAAGAGTTTGTTTATCCGTGCATATCTTAAAGCTAACATTAAAAAAACACCGGTTATGGCAAAGGAGATGTTTAATTATTTTACAAGACTCCACACCCTCAATCCTCCTCACCCAATGGTGAATGATTTCCACCGTCCATGGATACTTGCAACTTAAGAGGCACTAGTGTGCCATCCTTTGATTGCCTTCCCCCAGAATTAGGGACAGAGGAGGCGTCAGGCCTTCGGCACCCTCACTCACTCAGTCGGTGATATAACCATAGAGAGAACACAGGGTACAGCTACCAGTAAATGAAAGAGATGGATGGCTGATATTTCCCTCTGTCTCTGTTCAGCTAAGCTGCGATTGGCTACTTATTAACCTGGTGATCTGTAATTCAGGATCAACCTACTTCAGACACCAGCTTCTCACATATATTAGACTGCACGTTAATTATCCTAAATGTTCTTCAATATTTTTGTGTATAAGTAAGTCTTTATTGTGAAGAGAAATAAACGTTATTATTATTATTCTCTTTATTAAATTATAAATACATATTAATTACATTTTTAAATATCATCATCATCACCATCATCATCAGCCTATCGCAGTCCACTGCTGGACATAGGCCTCTCCCATTGCACGCCACTTAGATCGATTTTGGGCTTCTCGCATCCAGCTCCTGCCAGTCATCTTGCGCAAATCGTCACTCCACCTGGCCTGTGGGCGTCCTACACTACGTTTACCGAGACGCGGTCTCCACTCAAGAACTCGTTTTCCCCAACGGTTGTCGGTTCTGCGGCTAATATGGCCAGCCCACTGTCAGCTTGCTGATCCGGTAGGTTATGTCGGTGACCTTGGTTCTCTGCCGGATCACCTCATTTCTGATGCGATCCCTTAGAGAAACGCCGAGCATAGCCCTTTCCATAGCACGTTGAGCGACTTTGAGCTTGTGGACCAGCCGAACCGTAAGTGTCCACGTTTCAGCTCCGTATGTCATGACGGGTAGACATTTTTAAATATATTACAAAAGAAATAAAAATACATTTAAAAAAACAAATTATTGTAAAAACCACACAGTTCGGCTAAAAAGAGGGGACTATCTTTAATCCATCTCTCTCGTTGCCTATATTGCAAGAGAAGGGACTCTTGTTCTCTCTAGGTTATATCTTTATGGAATGGCTTTCCTGGGAGGCCGTGGCATCACTCCGGTCGAACCTGTTTGCGCAGAAGCATGGTTCTCCGGGATAAATGGTAAACTATGAGGATGTAAACTCATGAAAACAGCTAAAGTTAACGTAGAAAACCATTTAAGTATTTTACAATATTTATGTTTTACAGTATGTGTTAATCAATCATCTCCTTTGTTTTAATTACTTCTTAAAACAAAACAAATACAATCCATTACAACTTCACTATATTCCTGAACAAATATAAAACAACATTATACAAGACGCACATTAATATTAAAATATTGTAGAACGTAGAATATGACATTCTGGACTACGACGAATAGAAGCAAGACCCATACGTGGACTTACTGCGGAGGGGCCTGAAGCCACTTTGGTATTCACTGCCCTGTTCTTCATCGCGCTTGATGATACTAACGAAAGCAGCTAAACGTGGTGAGCACATAATACACATATATCATTAATATATACATATAGAATACAAAAAATAAAAACCAAAGCAAAAAAAAAACATATAGGTATTTTAGGACGTTTAAAATCGATATTTTCATTGGATTATTCGCACAATGCTGTGAAAACAACAGTTTTTATTTTGTTTAGAATAACACGTCAGATTTAGTGACAAAAATTCATTAGAAATCTTAATGGGAGCATTTCCACATACAAGGAATTTATTTCGGTTTTGTTTCAGACAATAAAAATTACAAAAACTCTTTTAAAAACCTTACAAAAGCCATATAAACATGTGTCAGGAAAAAGAGCGGTATTATGTCATAGTTTCAAATTTCGAATCGACGATCAATAAAAAAAACAACTAAACTAGAGGGAAACAAATACACAAAAAAAAATGGTAAATATCAATCGATTCACAATTTGAAGCTTCGATGTTTCATAGGCAAGGCAGAATCCCTTTTCCATAAGCATGTAGTCAACTCACTGCCTCCTGACTCTTGGGATCCAAATTTTTACGCTCCTTGAATGTACCACCCAGAAGACGCTGGATCTAGATATACATTGCAACAAAAATCAGAAAATAAAAATAAAAAATATTATATAATAAAAGAAACAATTTGATATTTATTGGTACCTTACTGCATGCAGTGCATATTATTGCTAAAAACTTATAGATATGCTATAGTTTGTAGGCAATATTGTCTACTAAAAATAATATTATTTCCTGTTTATTTTGGCGAAATCACAAAAAAATACCAACTTTTTCAAGGACAAGGATTACAATTGAATTATTTTTGTTCTATACTGTTTCTAAATATTTCATTTTTTAACTTATTTTTAAAAACCTAAGGAATTCGAATTTTAAATATATACGCTTAGTACAGTGCGGCGCTCAAAACATGGCATTAAATAAACTGTGCTTAAACGCGGTACGTGCACAGTTCAGTTATCAGATATTCCCCGTTGGGGTGACACGTCTCGGAACTTTCAACAAGTATAAAGTTTAAATAATATATTGGCACTGTTACAAACGATACTTCAAAAAGGCCGAAATACGTAGCTGGTACATCTGTCTTTTTCACTCTTCCGTTGTGATCAGTAATAAACTACATAATACAATATAAATAAACGTTTTTTAATCATTACTATTAGAAAATATATTCACAGAAGCATTCGAACTGTCGCGTATAATACTTTGTAGGAGAACGTACGTCTAAAATATATTTGATTTAGGTTTGGTTAGACAAATGCAAAATTTGGTCTTATTCTGTACATATCATTTCGCCGCGGCAACACTTTACAGGACCTATGTCTCTACCACGTTACATAACACCGTGCATCTAATGTAGCTCGTGTAATAATTTTTAAATACATAATGTATCTACGATGTGGGTGGTACAAGTGATAAGCGAATGTACCTAGGCTTATATACATGATTTGACTTAAAAGTTTACTTTAGAAGGGCATTACATGAAAATTGATTGAAATCAACCGGTTGTATCATCTAACAATTATCCTTCTGTAATTTTAGAAGCAAGCAGCAATGCCCTACACGCTCCCAGTATACATACTGAGTGTTAGAAAAGTACCGGAACAGCTAAACAATTCGCTATGGGTGCATTTTTCGGCAATACGTTAAACACAAAAGTTACAGGCATTTTCCCTGGCTATCCATTGGTGACCTTGAAATTGACCTTGATCATAACCTTGAAGGTTATCTCAAGGGTCAAGGGCAATTTTTAAGTGGGATTGCATATTTTTGAGCCCGGAATTGTAAAATGCATCCATAGCAAAATTAGTCTGCTGTTCAGGTACCTTTCTAACATCCTGTACAGCTCTGGCGAACTAATGCTTGCACGCTCTGAACCCTAGGAGCTGAGAAATGTGCGTAAACGTGGGTAAAACTGGTGGGAACAGCCGATACTATATATCATTTGCCTTTGAATCACGATTTAAATTTTTGATACCAGTTTTAATCACCTTTATCTTATCACTTGTACAACGCACAAAAATAAGAAAATAGACGGCTATACTTACGACCAGAAATTCGTTTTTATCAACCCTCTGGTTGCCGTCCGTGTCGAACATGTTGAACGCTATCTGGAACCCGGAAGCCGGTTCTGTAATTGACGGATATTATCGTTTGGCGTAGCATAATAGCCAATGTTCTTCAACAAAAGAGGGAGAGAAGAGAGAGAAATCTGCGGTTGAACACTTCTATTTTAAAATCTATTTAGGTGCATAGTTTTTTAGAATTATGGTATAATGTGGTCATATTTGCAACTATTTTTTTACATTTTGAATTCTTATATAAATTTTGTGACTATGCAATAATATTGACTGGTAGCGCCTTGTGTTATCGTATACTATTCTAGAATGGTACGGTGAGGATTAAGAATAAGAATTGTCACTTCCCCTATTCATCCCGTAGCCGACTAAGGGACTAAACTACGCAGGACAACAACACTGCAAAGAGAAGGAAAACTTGCCAACCCGTCTGGCCCGCGTGGTATAGTAAGCCAAAAAATCCTTTCTAAGGATTATTATGGGCTGTTGATGATGATGATTCCAAAATGTTTCAAGACATTTTAGAAGTATTCAGACCAGTGTCAAAGCCGTCGGGGGGGTATTGTCCGATTTTTCGGGAAAATTTACGAATCATCTGGAACTTTCTATGAAATAATGCCGGACTGTAAATACACGTCGTAATCCTTTGTGGAGACATTCTAGTTCTTATTGATGTGCCCATTTCAATATCAATACAAAATATAATAGACAAGAAAAGTAATTACACTTACTTGTTAAGATAGACAGAAGAAAGAGATACTCGGTGTAAGAGATGATGCCTGAAAAGTAAAAAAAAGAACAATTAATAATAATAAAAACTTTAGTTGGGCTGCCTTTTCATTAGATAAGGGGTGGCAATTCTTCTATTTCTTCCTCCGAGTCTTTTTCCCAAACAAGGTTGAAGTCGGCTTTTAGTCTAATACGATAAGGCTAAACTTTCTATGATGATTTTTTTATGCAGACCGACTGCCATCGGCCCTCCACAATCTAAGTACCGGGCGAAATCGAAATTCTGTAGAAATATTGTTGTCGGGCATTTTAGGGCTCCAACTACCCGTAACGATTGCCAAAGATGTTCATATGACAACCGGGACCGACGCCTTAACGTGCTCTTCAAGACACGGTGGGTTCTCAATGTGTTAAGAATGATTACCCATCTATAGATTGTTTTGATTAACTTTGCAATGAGTTAACCTAACTACTCGATCATCACTTAGCCACGAGCCTCTACAATTCTTCTATATTAAGTCGGAATTATAACTTGGGTATTTCAAAACTAATTTCCAAGCAGTTAACCCGTTTATGTATTTTTTTTCATTTTGCGCTTTGGACATTGTGCCCTTTTGACATTCTGCTCTTTTAACAATTTGAGATCGTTTGTTTTTTTACGCTTAGGACGACTTATTTAACGATTTACGTTTACGCATGATGAAGCTCGACTAGTTTCGGACACGAGACGGACCCTTTTACAAGGAGTGAACTGAAATGTCGTATCGGTATCATATGCTGCACTGGACTGTTTGCTTTCTACCGTTTCATTTGCCATGGCGAGCTTGGAAAAGAACTTTTGTTTTTGTTGAATTGTGGGTCACGGGATATTTTTTTAGTGAGCACTGGTCTCCCAAAACGCACGCGTGAGTACAATGTATACTTTCAATAACTAAAAAAATATACATTACCCTTATCTCTCATGTTGCGAAACATCTGCGAAGAACCTTTTTTAAGCGGTGGCGTGTGGTCGCGCAGGTATTCGATCTCCTTTGTAGTAAGAATTCGACGCTTTAAGCGAGCTGGAAGGTCATAGAGGAATGTGGATTACGTCTTATATTTATTTCATTAATTTTAAGCTGCTTAATAACTACAAACAAAATATCTCAATTCTAAAACTATCAAACAAATTCAAAACTAAAAGAGTAATAGTACCTACTACCTACCTACCTAGTGATGATAATCGTGATTGGAAAAAAATAATTAAATGGAGTACTTACGTCGAGGTTCCTGCTCGACCACAGACTCGAGGAAGTCTTGCGGAGTCATGTACAGTTGGCCTCCATGCTCGACGCTAGCAAATTTGATGAATCTTCGTTCGCGAGATGTCAGTTTTACCGATTTCGCCAATTCGTCTGGCTGCAACAAGAAAATAAAGAAAATGATGATTTTAAGTTAAAACAAAATACTCTCTATAGTCATGTATCAGTAAGTAGACACGAATAGCAACTGATGGACATTACATTAGGTTTAGAATGTCAAACTAAATAAAATTATCTCTTTTTCAGCGGTAGTTTTTACGACTACACAAAGGAGTAGTGCTCAGGGCCCCTGTGTCGAACCTTTTAAGGTAGCGGAACATTAATCAAATTCCTACAATTTTATAGAACCCACATTCATGGGTATTCTTTCCTTTGGACTGGACAGAGGGTTTTAAAAATTGTACAAAATAAATTATTTTATTAATACTCGATATCCGACAGTCGTATGAAGCATATTTATCGCTATCATAATTAATTATCGTTGAGAAGATTTTGTGCAATTTAAATATAATAGTTGACTTTTTTAAGAAATTGTTAGGTTCTGGGGTTCTTCTAATCCACGGGCATAGCGTGATATAGGTCATACATTTTTACAGAGCAACCCCCTTTGTAACAATCACCTTGAAGCTCTAGTAAAAATCTCAGACGTAAAAGTTTCGCACCAATATTTATATTCCAAAACTAAATGTTTTTACCATACCAAATTTCACCTATTTTTGCCTAATATAACAACAGAACTTGTGTTTTCCGCCACGACGGTCGACGCACTCCTTGTTGATATCTATCAATACGTACATTATACCCGTATGTGTGAAATAGGATAGACATGTCAATTATAAATTATATTTGAAAAAAATCACATCAAAGCGTAAAATTGAAGTTTAAACCTAGAGTTATGAACAAACACAACAGTTTCGTCACTTGGGTCCTTTGAAATATCAATGAAACCAATTTTTATGTCAAATCAAGTAACAGTATTTTTGCCTCAAATCGATAAAAACTTAAATAAAATCGATTGTTATCTTAAATCAAATAAGCGACATTTTTGGTAATCAATAATTGACTGTTTATCGGACTGATTTGTGAGAGGCTCGTGGCTAAGTGGTAACCGAGTAGGTTAACACAATGCAGAGTTAAGCAATCCTAGCCAGGTCAGCCTATGGATAGGTGACCATTTCTTAATACATTGATACTCCTCCCTACTTCGGTGCCGGTTGTCATCCGAACATCTGTAACAATCGTTACGGGTAGTTCGATCCTAGTTTGGGTAAAAGGCTCTAAGAAAATAAAATATTGGTTGTGTAACGTAATCTTAAAGAAAATGGACAGATTATAATCTACGTAATTATATTGAATGTCAATCAAAATATATGTGCTAGAAACTTGAAATTATATTGCAATAGATAAACCTTCTTATTTGATGTTTTGAAAACAGGAAAAATGAATAACAGTTTTAGAGATGGAATAAAATCGCAATCGCCAGTCAAAGCATATGATTTATAAATCGTATTATCACGCCTGTGACTAATATACAAAATCACTGCGACTTAATATTATTAATACATATAACGCTAGCGCCAGAGACTTAATTTAAAAAAAATATCTTAATCATTGATATAAAGAATTTTAATTGATTTTAATAGCATTTATCTTTATCTATGATCAAATCCCAATCACAGGTGAAATCGCTGTGAGTAGAACGAATCATTTCATCATATAAATATGATTTAAAAGTAGCAGCAATTTCCTTGCCTGAACACGACGTAATGTATGTAATGCTTCTAGAAAAAGCGCTCGTCTACAACAGAACAGTAAATCAACGTTATAATCGAAGCAGAAGCGAATTCTTCTCAAAATAAATGAAGTGGAAGCTCGTAACCAGATACCCGGAACAAGAGCATTTCCACGTTTCTGGCTCTTAAAATAATATGTTAGATAATGTGTTCCAACTTTCCAACTAAAGTAAACGGGCGAAACAACAATTTCGCTAAATACGTCCCACTATTTTCGTGTCGATCTCATTTGTACGGGATCTAAGAATAGCAATAATTACAATAGGGTTGTCGGGAAACATTTTTTCATTGTCAAATACTTCTTAAATCACTTCTTCTTTTTCTTCTTTACAGATCAAATACTTATCTATAGAATTTTTAAAGAAATGTAGTAAAATATTGTGAGGATATATTTTTGCATTGTTTTAACCTTTCTAAAGTCCACGTCCGTTTCAACCACTTATACGATAAATTGCTGTTTCAGAAAACAAGTCCTTGATAAGCATAGCTGTGCTCTCCTGTTCTTAATTGTTTTCATGTAGAACTAATCTGCTTTTGTTTTGCGACTTTTATGCGTCTTTGATATGAAAATCTACATCTATTTACGGTATATTTGAACGCGGCACCTTTAAAAATCAACAATAAAGTAATTGATTTCAAAAAACTTGGTACTGTTTGCGGAAACTTAAAAAATATAAAAAAATAGCTCACGGGGATCAAATTCACAATACATGATTACTCAAATTCAAAATTTCTGCTTTAATTTTGTAGCAGCATACTTGAAAGTACTACCAACTATCTAAAGGAACACGAGCCCAGCCCAGGCATCTACTAAGCATTTTTTCTTTTGGTTTCACTGACTATGGTATCGAGTGAGATGCGGTCCCTCTTTGATTTGAAATAAGAGCATTCATTTAGATGACAACCCTAAATTTGTTTGACAGTTGGTAATCAATATGAATGTATTTTTTGACACTGCTTGTGTTTGCTATGTCAATTGTCTCGGAATTTTGTGTTCTTGTAGAGCTTATCAAAGTATAAAGAGATTTAGTTTTCGTACATCGCACTTCATGGCTCATATTTGTACTAAAAGGATATGGTGTGTACGCAGTCACTCAAAAACAAGACTTAACTGAGATTTCCTTAACCATTAATTTTGGCGCGTTATCCACACTACTCGTATACTTGTATGATAAAGCTGAAGAAATTCTTTGTACTTCACTACGCTAAACTGTAAAACTATAAGGATATTAAAATGATAGCAGAATTCCCAAGAAGACAGAAACTTTTCAGTGACAATACTGTGGCGAATATGACTTACAGTGAAACAAAAACCCGCTACAGTGCCTTGTAAAGTAGACACACGCCAAACACGATCACCTCGCCTCTTCGAAGGAGTCTCCTTTTGTTTTGGAGGGATATGACATACGTTACTTAACAATACAAAACGGTTGGAATTGTTAAGAACGGCTAGATTACAATAAGAATATTTTTTATACTAATTGTGATAGGAAGCGAAAGAAAACAAATGCAAAGCATAGGCACGGCATGCAAGCATACATACGGCCATATCTCTATTAAGTAATTAATGCACCATTTATATCTTGATTCACAACTTCTTTTGTACGTGCAGAGAGAGACCATTTGAGAACAAATTCAAAGTAAATTCCAGAATTTAAAAAAAAATCTCTTGAATCTATCGGGGCTCGGTTTTCTTACAAAACATCGATATAAATCTTAAAGACAAATAGGTACATCTCTTATCACATCAATAAATTAGGGTTGTTATAAAATCGCGGCATGACCCATCCCTGTTTAATAGTCATTTTGTCGTGAATGTACCCATAAATTAGTAGTGCCACCCCTAAAAGGAGTTATAAATCTATAAGGTTGAGGTAAATGATTGTAGATGCGAACAATTTATGTCTCAAAGGGTAGGTTTTTATATTTTATTTGAATCTATTGTAATTCCAGGACCCTTATCTACGAATATATAGTATATGGTATTTGCCAATAAGCGATATAGAAGAGAGGAGAGGCCTATGTCCAGCAGTGCACTATTAAAGGCTGTTGATGTGATGTGTGATGTGATATAGAAGAAAGATGAGAATAAAACAAGTCCATTTATTATATTTAATTAAATATGTGAGTAATGACGGTATACCTATAAGACACTGCAATGGGGTAACCTTGTATATCTAAAGAAATAATGTAATAGTAATGATAATAAAAGTAGCCAATTAATTTTGACCTGTGGGGGGTAAGTTATAAACAATCGGGTATAGCCATAGTAGAATAAGAGTAACTATAGACCATGTGAACTTGGCTAGAGCCAGATGGGAGTACATTGGTAATTCTAGAAGTCAGCGCATTCCCAGTTAAGTCACTGTCCTGTCAGCTCTCAACACTTCATTCTAAATATGAGGAAAGTACCGTTAGGAGTGTAGTGATGGCACACGAAGTCTGGAATTGGCGAAACAAGATTCGCCGATTAATCGAGAATCGACTAAATCACTAGAGTTATCGTCGCGCCTGTTAGTCTAGTGGTTTGTGACCCTGACTGTTAAACCGAAGCTCGTGGGTTCGATTTCCACCCATGACAAATAATTGTGTGACAAGAACGATCATTTGTTCTGTGTCTGAGTGTAATTTATGTATGTACGAGTATGTATTTGGAATTTAAGCATTTTTATGGACAGTCTGGTTACCATAGTACGGGCTCTGTCTTTGTGTACCTAGTTTGGGATCAGACTGACGTGTGTGAGATGTATAAAATTATTACAATGTATAAGGGAATTTAGAAGCATTTATTAGGGGTTTTATTACTACATATATATTTCTAAAATGAAATACAACTAATTTAATCCTGTGAGTCTGTTTTATCTTCTTTTTTCCTTCTCAGTCTATGCCTTTGCTCTGTTATCTCCCACTTTGATAAGGATGTAAGTGTAAGGCTCAATATTTTAGTGGGTTGATGCTTTAAATCGGGAGAACGAGAGTTGCAGCAGTTGGAAAATCAAGAAATCATTCTGAATTGATATCAGCTTAGCTTGTATACAGGTAAGTTTTCGTTACAGTTAATTAGTAATTTTGTTCCAACGGCGTGAGATAGCGCCCGTCTCCACAACAACTTTCTATATTAATGTCAAATGTTTCCTGCAAAGCCGATATTAAATCACAGCGTCCATGTATCAGATACTACAATATTAATTCAAACTGGTAGCCATTACGAACAATTTAATAGCGTATTATGCGTTGCGGACGTTTATGAATGCTGTGTGTTTGTGGACTAGACCCGTGTCGCTGTACGGCTCCTATGTAAGTGTGTGATGTAATGTGAAGCGCTGGGTGATGTATGATGTGTATTGAAGCAGTATGTACTGAGGCACTAGCCTACGGACCTGCACGTACAACCATATAAATTATGATACATTTCACTCATCAGCGATAACAACTGCGATTCATAATCCTAGTGTCAAAAGCTTGTTTTGACTGCTTTCCTTAACACGATTTGTATGTTGGCTCTGGCCAACTGTCAGACTAAATCTGTTGTAAGCTTAAGCCTTAACTAGAATATTATAGATTCTTTTCAACACGATTTTTTTGGCCTTAGTTGTAATTAACTACGTTAATGAATCTTGGAAGTTAATTTTAACCTAGTTTTATTTCGTGGTATCAACTTTGAATGTACAACTATAGATCAAAGTTTAATTGAAAATATTTGAGTTTATCTGATGATGGAACCAGGAGGTAGATAATGAAATTCTTCAGAGGTTCACCTGACGATAAAGCCAACAGATGGGTAACATTTTTTTAAATTGTCATTCGGTTTGCAATTAAGTCGTATTTTATAAAATTACTAAACTTTAAACTTCACACGATATTTAGGTATGAGAGTTAAAGGGTACAAGAGAAGAAGAAGACCAAAGAAAAGGTGGATGGACTTTGTGACAGAGGATATGGCTAACAGCGAAATGACGAATGATAGAGTAGAATAGAAGAAATAATCATACTGCACCGACCCCAAATAAAATTAGGAAAAGGAAGGCAGATGATGATGAAACGTGTTTTATAAATGCCCACACATCCCCTTTTCGCAACAGAGCTTTGTTAAACATTGTGGTTACAAGTGGCAGTAGGATCTGATGAAGTTTATGAGTTAAACACCGTCTCGTAATATGCATCATCCATCATAATATCATAACATTTGTGATAGATTTCACTTACCTTAATCGATTCGTCACTGACTTATTAAGGTTTCACCACGGGCCTGGTAAGACATCATCATCATTTTTTCTCAGTCTCACCACACGTTATTCAGGAGTAGATTAGAGGAGGAGACTACACCCAAATTAAGAAGGTATTTATACAACACAGAATTACAACTTCAAAATAATACTTTAATAATAATAATAATATATCACACACATCTCACACACGGCCACTATAACTATCCCATAGAATACCATGCATTTATAATCGCACTCATAATTTATAGAAATTACAACTTAAATCTCACCTTACGATACCAATACTTTCCATTCGCGATAAATAATAATACAACACCATAAAATAACATTCAAATATCATAAATCTACAATTCCTTACCAGCTCATTAAACTTTATAGTCCGCATTCCGATTTAAACCTAAGACTTAGTAATATAATGAGCAGTAAGGACATACAACCTGATCAATATTAAGTATGTACACAGTTAATTTGACATAAGTATTTAAGGTCAGATCTATCCACAAAGCGAAAGGAGGTACTCTAACAGGTTGAAAGACGATAGCTATGGTCGGTTTAACCAATGAAGTGTTTATAACTTATATCTGATGACCTTGCGACCTGCAATTGTTCTAGTACTACACTGGTGGCTAGATATTGCTGTTTATATATATGATGGGAATACATCGCAGCGATACGAATCTAAAAGGATCTTTTTTACGTTTAGACTTTCTACTTCAGTTTTTTTTAAAGACAATTCCCTCAATAGGACTATATCCTGTCTCGCAGGGAACTCAAACATACATAAAACGGGCAAAAAGAGCACCCAGACTCATAACAACAATTTTTGGATCAGATTAAGCGTTGTCCAATGTGGGGATCGAACCCACAACACTCAGCGCA